GCATCTGTTCCATATCCCTATACTATAAGGGGGAATCTCCAGGAATGTTAGTTTGACAGTTGGAAAATTCTGTAAAAAACAACAATGGAGTCTATACTGCTCCTGACATAACCCTCACACTCTAAGTCTGAGGTATGTGCTAGGTTAATGTACCTTCCTACCTTGGTGGTAAGATCGCAGATTCCTAACCAAACATATTAGACAATATTTTTTATGTCTGCGAACTCGCTCAGGTAAATAACATTGGAGCCAATGCAGTACCTGACCAAAAGTACCCCCTGCCCTACACTGAAATTCCAGATTATAACCCAAATTTTTGATGATATCTACATTTCTTTTCAACAAATAGCCTTTACTACTGGTCACAAGAATGGGATATTTATTCAGAAAATGGGGTGGGGTAACAGGCTTTTCTCTATATTTGGCTAACTTACTTACACTCATTTAGAAATATTCATGATTAAACACATGTGTACTAGGTTCTGAAAGAGCAAATGCTTTGAACTTACCTTGCATCCATGTGCTTGGGAGACACTCAGGAAGGGATACGGGATACGGGAAGGTTTTGCTAATCATGGTAATTATGGTGATGGTGATGATTATGACAACGATGATGATGATGAATGCAGAAACGAGGATTGATCAAAAATTACGAATAAATATTAAACAATAAACATATATACGTACTAAATGCTGAAGCTGCTCAAAAAATATTATTTTTTTACAAATAAATTCAAATTTTCAACACATTAGAAATGATCTTTTGGCAGTGTCCAAACTGGTTTCGGCATAATTTCCACACTTAGACGAAATCACATATGATCGAGTTCTAATCAGGTCAGTCGACTGGCGTTCACGCCTGTGTCCACCATCTAAACCGTCCTCTTTTCCTCCTTAAGCACCCTTGTTACATTGGCGCCCACGTAGGGACCCGGGAAAAACACTCGGCCTTGCTCCACAAGCATCGCTGTTACCCCTGGAAAAACTCGAGGACGAGTTCTTTCCTGGAAGGGGAGTATGTAACCCTGATAAATCCTAGCCGCAATATATCGCTCGGCTATAGAGAACTTCTCTTTAGCTCGATCGGTTGAGCGTAAGACTAGTAAGCCAGAGGTCCCGGGTTCGATCCCTAGCAGAGGCAGTGATTTATACTTAATTAATCATGCGCTCTGTTAGATACAACATACAGGAGACTTTATTTAACGTCACATATATCGAACAAAGAAACATTAGCGCTGTAGCGCTATTTTTGCGACAAACATGATAAAAAGCAAACAGATAACAACTCATGCTATATACACTATCAGCGTGTAACACATACAATAATATAGCAGCATATATTCATACCATTATCCTCGAACCATTTGATTAAAATATTACTCTCCCCTTCTAGTGTATTCTTTAATTGAACAGGGTAAGAGTCAATATGCGACAGTGTATTATCATCAACATAAGTATAAAGGATACCCTTGCGCACATAATAAAAGATGTCATTTATAAAAATATCAAAAATTACATTCAGAATATGGATATATCCATGATGTGATACTAAGATATATGCTGCATAAGGCTGTTTGACAATGCGTGCAATTGTGCGAGCCTTCATTGGTGACACAGTCATTTTGTGATGAACATAAACCCGCTGTTTACTATGGTTATTAATGATCGAAAACACAAACCACTGGAAACGGAGGATGGGACAGATTCTACCAGTTAATGTCCATAGGTGGTGAGATGGTCCAGTTATCCGGACAAAAAGGTAGTGAAGCTACAGTCACAAGCACACATTCATTGCCTGTTGTTAACTCTACATGGACTGAGGTTTTATTAGCAGTTTGAAACTTCTTCCACAGACAGTAAATGGATGTTAGAATAAATGCTGTGGTGAGAAAAGACAATGTTATATAAGGCCAAGGCGTTTGTAACGAATTGTACATATGGTCAGTGATTGTACGGATTGTTGTTACTTCTGGAAGGGCTTTGTAACGGAAGCTTGGAACAGTAGGTGCTACTGTGAAGGCCGGGGCAGTATTTGTTTTTGTAAGAATTAGTGCTGCTGACAAGACCTTATATGTGCATTATGTCAAGACAGATACAAAAATGGCAATGCCTGATACAGCAGTTGCCACTAATGCAATAACCCCACTGGTATCTGGCCAATTGACATTTACAGTGGACAGTGTACCATCTAGCATCGACTCTGAAAGAGATTTAAATATAGTTTCTCCTTTTTTGGGCTTTTGCAACAATTTTCTTTAGATTGAGAAGATATTTCTTCATTTGTCAAAGTTTCCGAAAAAGAATGGTTGTAAATTTCTGCTTGTCATCTGATTCTGTATCATTGTAAACAAAAGGGACCTGCTGGGGTGTTGATGACGATGTGGATTGAACAACACTAACATCTGCGCTGGGAAGTACATCCTCAACGTCTTTTGTTGATCTTTCTGGATATGACCTTCTAGATAAAGCATCAGCTACTAGGTTTTTAGTTCCTGCTTTGTATAATATCTCGTAGTCATATCCTTGTAACAGTACTGACCAACGAGCAAGCCTGCCCGTGGATTCTGGTTTGATGTTTTTTAGCCATTTTAAGGCACTATGATCAGTGTATACTCTAAACTTATTGCTTGCTAAATATACATGATAGGTTTTGATGCCTTCTACAATAGCAAGACCCTCCCTTTCAAAAATGCTATATTTGCGCTCACAAGATGTGAGAGTTCTTCCACCGTATCCTTTCATTCGCTCTCTGTTGTTATTGTCAAACTGGCCAAGTATATAGCTTATAGCTTCGCCTGATGCATCAGTTGTTAGAATGAACATTTTAGAATGATCTGCATAGGCAAGAACAGGGGGTGACTTTAAGGTCTCTTTTAACAGGTCAAAAGCTTTCTGACACCCCGTTGTCCACTCAAATGTCTTTTCTTTCCTTAGAAGATCAGTGAGTGGGGGAATAATTTGGCTGTAATTCTTGATAAACTTTCTGTAGTAATTACATAACCCTAGAAAGAATCTCACCTGTTTCTGGTTAATGGGTGTTGGAAATGACCTGACTGCATCTGTTTTGGCGGTATCAACCTTGACCCCATCCTTGGAGATGACATGACCTAGATAATGAACTTAAAAGTACACTTGCTAGGTTTTAAGGTTAAACTTGATTGCCTAAGACGACAGAACACTTCATGTAAGTGTTTGATGTGTTCTTCAAATGTCCGAGAATACACAAGTATGTCATCAACATACACAAGGCATGTTCTCCAATTTAGACCTTTCAGCACCTTGGTCACAAGGGCTTGAAAACTAGCAGGGGCGTTAACTAGACCGGAAGGCATCCGCTTCCATTGACATACACCTGTAGGTGTAACAAAGGCAGATTTGTGAGCTGTCTCAGGATCCATTGGTATTTGCCAAAATCCTGAGGCTAGATCTAGAGTTGAGAAGTATTGTGCATTTGAGTTTCCTACCGTGTCAAACACATCATCAAGTCTGGGTAAGGGGAATGACTGTCGTGTTGTAACGGCGTTGATTTTTCTGTAATCCACCACAAAGCGAAGCTGACCGTTTTTCTTTTTAACCATCACTACAGGACTCTGCCAGGGTGAAGTGGATTCTGAAATGATGTCAGAATCCAACATTTCCTTATTTGGCGGTCTGTTTCTGCCTTAACCTCTGGACTCTTTCTATAGAATCTTTGCCTTAATGGCATAGCCGCACCTGTTTCTATGCGATGTGAATATTGGTTAGTTTTACCTAACTCTGAGAGGTCTGTGGCAAATACATCCCTACTGTTGTTAAGGAAAGCTTGCAAAAGATTTTGCTTTGCTTCAGGAAGTGATGAGTTTTCTAAATCAAAAGAAATGTCTGTCTTTCTCTCATTTACTTTTGCCTTGCCTACAGTGTTTTGGTGTTCAATAGGGGAATCAAGGGAGACAACTGAGACATCCTCAAATATGCAGGCTCTGGCTAACGTTTTGTTGACTTCTATCTGTATGCTGGAGTTTGTAGGATTCATTACTTGTATGATTGTTAGGTTGTCTTTGTTTAAATATGAAATAGACTTAGCTCCTACAAGACCAGATTATGGGAGTTGAGGTAATGGTTCTAGAATAACTGGAGTACCTGGCAGTAAGTCTGACACTTTGACCTCTACATTCTGAATGGTCAGGGATGGTATAGTGACTGTATTTGTGCTTTGTGCTACACTAACAACTGTGTCTACTGAGTATGTCGTGTTGGATGTTTTGTCATTCAGATACAGAGATTTTGTTGTTGTGTTTAGGATTGCACCATTTGACTCTAAAAAGTCGATACCAACTATCATTGTTTGATAAAACTTTTCAAAAATGTGAAATCTTTGATAATATACCATGTCGCTAAATGATATTGGTATTTGGATGGCACCAAGGCTGCACTGATGCTCACCACCAGCAACACGAACACATATAGGAGGATGATGTAATGCTGAAGTGTCAACAGAGAATCTTTTCAACATTTGGATTGATACGCAGCTGATAGTAGCTCCTGTATCAACTAGCGCTTTTACTGGGAAACTATTAACTTCAACACTGACAGTATTGTTTCCTATAGGGGTTATTAAACTAACACAATCTGTACAGCGAGGGGTGCAGGGTTTAAGAGCTTTACCAAGATTTTGGTTTGTTGGTAACCCATTCGGCGTCCCGGAATGGTAAGAAGTATGCTAACCCTAGCTGCAACAGAGGTGTTAGTAAATTGTGTTCGTTTGCTGTGGTGTCTATCCTCGTTGGGGATAGGCGCGTATCCCTAGTATTGGTTATTAGTTATGTTGGTGGGGTTGGGGGTGGTCTGAATTTTCGTTTTCCTACACACGTCTTCAGTATGCCGCCAATACTCACACAACCGACACTGATTATTATATGCACGGCACTTAAACCTATTCTGACAGGACTAACCACATCCTTGACATAGTTGTTGCTGCCTTTGCCCATTCTGCTGGTGTTGTTGGTTCTGTTGGTGGTTTTTTATACTGCCGCATATACTGCTGCTGTGGCTGATACTGCTGCTGATGTCGTGGTTGGTACTGCTGCTGTGGCTGATACTGCTGCTGTTGCCGTGGTTGGTACTGCTGCTGTGGCTGATACTGCTGCTGTTGTCACGTTGGTACTGCTGCTGCGGCTGATACTGCTGCTGTTGTTGGGGCTGGTACTGCTGCTGCGGCTGATACTGTTGCTGTTGCCGTGGTTGGTACTGCTGCTGTGGCTGATACTGCTGCTGTTGCCGTGGTTGGTACTGCTGCTGTGGCTGATACTGCTGCTGTTGTCACGTTGGTACTGCTGCTGCGGCTGATACTGCTGCTGTTGTTGGGGCTGGTACTGCTGCTGCGGCTGATACTGTTGCTGTTGCCGTGGTTGGTACTGCTGCTGTGGCTGATACTGCTGCTGTTGCCGTGGTTGGTACTGCTGCTGTGGCTGATACTGCTGCTGTTGCCGTGGTTGGTACTGCTGCTGTGGCTGATACTGCTGCTGTTGCCGTGGTTGGTACTGCTGCTGTGGCTGATACTGCTGCTGTTGCCGTGGTTGGTACTGCTGCTGTGGCTGATACTGCTGCTGTTGCCGTGGTTGGTACTGCTGCTGTGGCTGATACTGCTGCTGTTGCCGTGGTTGGTACTGCTGCTGTGGCTGATACTGCTGCTGTTGCCGTGGTTGGTACTGCTGCTGTGGCTGATACTGCTGCTGTTGCCGTGGTTGGTACTGCTGCTGTGGCTGATACTGCTGCTGTTGCCGTGGTTGGTACTGCTGCTGTGGCTGATACTGCTGCTGTTGCCGTGGTTGGTACTGCTGCTGTGGCTGATACTGCTGCTGTTGCCGTGGTTGGTACTGCTGCTGTGGCTGATACTGCTGCTGTTGCCGTGGTTGGTACTGCTGCTGTGGCTGATACTGCTGCTGTTGCCGTGGTTGGTACTGCTGCTGTGGCTGATACTGCTGCTGTTGCCGTGGTTGGTACTGCTGCTGTGGCTGATACTGCTGCTGTTGCCGTGGTTGGTACTGCTGCTGTGGCTGATACTGCTGCTGTTGCCGTGGTTGGTACTGCTGCTGTGGCTGATACTGCTGCTGTTGCCGTGGTTGGTACTGCTGCTGTGGCTGATACTGCTGCTGTTGCCGTGGTTGGTACTGCTGCTGTGGCTGATACTGCTGCTGTTGCCGTGGTTGGTACTGCTGCTGTGGCTGATACTGCTGCTGTTGCCGTGGTTGGTACTGCTGCTGTGGCTGATACTGCTGCTGTTGCCGTGGTTGGTACTGCTGCTGTGGCTGATACTGCTGCTGTTGCCGTGGTTGGTACTGCTGCTGTGGCTGATACTGCTGCTGTTGCCGTGGTTGGTACTGCTGCTGTGGCTGATACTGCTGCTGTTGCCGTGGTTGGTACTGCTGCTGTGGCTGATACTGCTGCTGTTGCCGTGGTTGGTACTGCTGCTGTGGCTGATACTGCTGCTGTTGCCGTGGTTGGTACTGCTGCTGTGGCTGATACTGCTGCTGTTGCCGTGGTTGGTACTGCTGCTGTGGCTGATACTGCTGCTGTTGCCGTGGTTGGTACTGCTGCTGTGGCTGATACTGCTGCTGTTGCCGTGGTTGGTACTGCTGCTATGGCTGATACTGCTGCTGTTGTCGTGGTTGGTACTGTTGCTGTGGCTGATACTGCTGCTGTTGTTGGGCTGGTACTGCTGCTGCGGCTCGTACTGCTGATGTGGCGTGGACTGTCTGTGCATGACAGAGTTGATCTCTGCCGACACCTCTGTTTTCAGGTTCTGTAGCTTTGTTGCTACATCTGAAACCATTTTTATGGGAGAGACCTCTGCCTCAGTTGTGCAGTCCAGTTCCGCCTTTCCTAGATCCATGGCATGGCGTAGGTCGATGAAGGTCATTGGTTCTTTGCCAATTACTTTGGATCTTAGACTTGGTAACAGTTTTTGCACAACTATTTGTACCTTGTATTTCTCGTTCATGCTGTGGCCCAGAGCTGTTTTCTCAGTAATTGTCTGCCGACTCCTCAGAACCTTGAATTTATGGACATAAACTTAATGTCCCGAGTCCTATTCTGGAACCGGTCTATGAAGGCTACCTTGAAGTTAAGATAGCTTGTTTTAATTGAGGGATCCAGACCTTCCAACCAAAGTGCTGCACTTCCCTCAAACTGGCATGCTATGGCAGCCAGAGTCATTTGGTCTGAAAGGGCATGGAATATCTTCCACGCCTCAAGGTTCCCCAGCCAAAGGATTGAATCTTTCCCATTAAATCTCTTTAAGGAAATTCCAGAAGAGGCCATGTTTTCCTGATGTTGGTCTGGGTGTTGTGGTGACTGCTGTTGTTGTATTGAGAAAAGTTATCATAAAGAATTTTATGATAAAAGTGATAAAATTGAACTTTATTTAATATCTCATTATATTCGTTATTTAGCGTTTTTTAAACTACAAACTTTCATTCAATTTATTCCATTGAACTATTTGTGTAAATTGTTTCTCCTGAACTTGTGTCAATTTAGATAAGTTCTATTTATGAAGCTTTTCCTTTGAAGTCGACATGTAAAGGTTATTGCATGGTTTTCGAGTAACAAGGGATATATTACACCCGAGCGAAGCGAGGGTGTAATAAGTCCCGAGTGACGAGAAATAATGCAATAACTGGCTTACTGCATGCTTCCCAACTCGAACAAAACAGAAAAATTGAGTAAAAAATGTTCACCTGGACAATCTTTTTACCTACCCTACACTGCAGATAATTTACATGTACCTGTGTGAGTGAGTACTAATCAGAACCAGGTAAGGTTTGTCTTTATTCTCAATAGCCCAGTCTGAGTGTATCCTTCATAATGGATACAAGTGTTTTTGGATTACCTACTATCCAGCTCCAGTGTCAGGGAAGGTGAGGAGTGTCTGTTCAACAATTAGAACAAAATACGGGAAACAATGTTGATTTTCTGACTACATTTTCAGTTTACTTTTCAAGATGTGGCAAAGGTACAGGATATTGAAACCATTTTCATACATACAATGTAAGGGTTTATCAATCCCTAAGGAATTCCAGTTCTTTCAATGAATGGTATATTTGAATGTGCTCTTAAAGATTATAAACTTTTCCAGGAAATGCTCATCCTCTCACGTGATAAGGAAATCAATAACGCTGCCAACTCAGTAATTTTTATTGTTTGTTTTTCAATCATCAAATTACTATTTTTAACTTAATCTTTTTTTTTCTTATTTTAAATGTGTCAACTAAGTTTATCCTTTCCACTGTATTGACTTCATCGTTACTTACTTATTGATTATCTCCCCTTTCTTACAGCATTTGTGACCACAGTCCACTGGGCACACCACCTTTCATGGTCATGTAATCATGATTGGCTATGAAAGGGGATTGTGTGCAGTGGACTGTGGTAGCAAGTGATTTATTGCCCACAGTTTTCCATTGTGAGAGGTGGGAAGTATGCATGCAGTAAGTGTCATTGTTGTCAGATTAACTCAAGCATTTACTTTGTCCATCTTATACCATATATCTTTCAACTTAATTGTATTACGTAACAGGATTAACTTGGTCATACCAGATCGGACACTGCATTCAGTCTCAGACAAAGGACAGCTAAATTGGCCTACCTGGTCAGGTATGGCCGGGGTCTGAAAGGCCGATTGCTATGAATGACAGATGTCACTCAAACTAATTACTTAATTGATATTGTGTAAATGTACTTGGGACATGATTATGATTGGTAACTTCAGTTAGGAGCTAGGCATCGGACTGTACGGGTGTGTTTTTGGATACTCCAGAAATCACCCACCGACCTAGAGAAAGTTATTCTTATAAATTTATATTTGGACCATACAACATCTCCAAGTGCAATTTCTGCTTTAATCTTCTCCTAAATTGAGAAACATCTGCTCCATGTAGCCTGAAAAAGAAACCATGAATTTGACCTGTATCACTTCATGCTGCCACTAGACCTAATAAATCAAAATTGACCATTTCACTAAATCCGTGAAAATGAAGGACTCCCCAAAAAAATGGGAGTTTACAGAACTTCATGTAAAAAATCCTTATTGTGCATTATAATTAAAACAAAACATATGAAATCACACTGAACACTGCGACATCATATTGAACACTGCTACATCACATTGAACACTGCGACATCACATTGAACACTGCGACATCACATTGAACACCGCGACATCACATTGAACACTGTGACATCACATTGAACACTGCGACACCACATTTTTGTCAATGTTGGATGTTTGTTGACATTATACAGAGTGTTGGATGTTCGTTGACATTATACAGATTGTGTTGGATGTTTGTTGACAGTAGACATAGTGTTGGATGTTTGTTGACATTATACAGTGTTGGATGTTTGTTGACATTATACAGAGTGTTGGACGTTTGTTGACATTGTACAGTGTTGGATGTTTGTTGACATTATACAGTGTTGGATGTTTGTTGACATTATACAGAGTGTTGGATGTTTGTTGACATTATACATAGTGTTGGATGTTTGTTGACATTAAACAGATTGTTGGATGTTTGTTGACATTATACAGTGTTTGATGTTTGTTGACATTATACAGATTGTTGGATGTTTGTTGACATTATACACAGTGTTGGATTTTTGTTGACATTATACATAGTGTTGGATGTTTGTTGACATTATTCAGTGTTGGATGTTTGTTGACATTATTCAGAGTGTTGGATGTTTGTTGACATTATTCAGTGTTGGATGTTTGTTGACATTATACTGAGTGTGGATGTGTGTTGACATTATACAGAGTGTTGGATGTTTGTTGACATTATACAGAGTTTTAGATGTTTGTTGACATTATACAGAATGTTAGATGTTTGTTGACATTATACAGAGTGTGGATGTGTGTTGACATTATACAGATTGTTGGATGTTTGTTGACATTATACAGTGTTAGATGTTTGTTGACATTATACAAAGTGTTGGATGTTTGTTGACATTATACAGAGTGTTGGGGGGGGGGGATGGAATATCTTCGCAATCTCAATAAAAGAAATAATGCTGTGTTGTCATAATTCATGTGGGAACATGCTGTTGTAAAACTGAAGTAGAAAAGGTGACAGGTGAAATGACCTTTGACCTTATATGACATTGATTTTTCTGTGGTATTCAGGATTTGGCGGCTACTATATACCCTGGAGCATGTGGAGTGTTGTGGGCAGTATGATCCTCTTTTAACTTACTGCTCTCAACATACACTTGGTATTTCATTAATCTATTAACTTACTGCTCTCAACATACCAGGTCAGACAGTAATCTATTAACTAGCTGCTCTCAACATACCAGGTAAGTCAGTAATTCATTAACTTGCTGCTCTCAACATACCAGGTCAGTCAGTAATCTATAAACTTACTGCTCTCAACATACCAGGTTAGTCAGTAATTCATTAACTTACTGCTCTCAACATACCAGGTAAGTCAGAAATCTATAAACTTACTGCTCTCAACATACCAGGTAAGTCGGTAATTCATTAACTTGCTGCTCTCAACATACCAGGTAAGTCAGTAATTCATTTACTTACTGCTCTCAACTTACCAGGTCAGTCAGTTACCCTCAACATACCAGGTAAGTTAAAAATCCATAAAATGTGTATTGTGTACAGTATTAAATAGTGAATAAGATATTCTAGCAATGGTCATATTATTACCAAAATGAAACTCGGAGAATTGAGGAAAGTGTAATAAATATAAATCTATATTAAGTATAATGAGATGAAGGATTTAGATATAATGAAGTCGGTGTGTTTAATGGATGTGTTGTGTTTTGCAGATTGTAACATCCTGTACATACAGGACCTGGCCCAGACTAGTAAGAGTTTCACCACACAGTCCAAACTGGACGTACTGAAGAGTCGAGCCACCCACTCCCTTTAATATACCTAAACCTAACCCACGTATCTCAGACTCTGGGCTACAATGTACTAAAGAGGCGAGTTACCACTTCCTTTGATACACTTAAATCTGACCAACACGTATCTCAGACTCTGAGCTAAAATGTACTAAAGAGCCGAGTTACCACTTCCTTTGATACACTTAAACCTAACCCACACGTATCTCAGACTCTGAGCTAAAATATACTAAAGAGGCGAGTTACCACTTCCTTTGATACACTTAAACCTAACCCACATATATCTCGGACTCTGAGCTACAATGTACTAAAGAAGTGGGGTATAACTCCCTATAATATACTCAAATCTTACCCACATATATCTCAGACTAAGAGCTACAATGTACTAAAGAAGTGGGGTATAACTCCCTATAATATACTCAAATCTTACCCACATATATCTCAGACTAAGAGCTACAATGTACTAAAGAAGTGGGGTATAACTCCCTATAATATACTCAAATCTTACCCACATATATCTCAGACTAAGAGCTACAATGTACTAAAGAAGTGGGGTATAACTCCCTATAATATACTCAAATCTTACCCACATATATCTCAGACTAAGAGCTACAATGTACTAAAGAAGTGGGGTATAACTCCCTATAATATACTCAAATCTTACCCACATATATCTCAGACTAAGAGCTACAATGTACTAAAGAAGTGGGGTATAACTCCCTATAATATACTCAAATCTTACCCACACTCAGTCTCAGACTAAGAGCTACAATGTACTAAAGAGGTGAGGTACCACTCCCCTTTAGTTTACTTAAATCTTACCCACATGTATCTCAGACTAAGAGCTTCACCAGATATTCTAAACTGAATGTACTGATAAGAGGTGGGTCACCTACTCCTGTTTAATACTCTCAATCTAACCCACATGTATATCAATGTTTGTCAACTGAATTTCCATCCACCATGATTTTGTTTAAATGAATCTACTCTTTAGGTGTAAGTTTTGTTTGTTTTAATCTACTGTGTCCCTGTGAGGTGAAATTTTTGATGATAATTCTTATACCTTTTCCAGTGCAAGTATCCTGGCCCTTAAGAAACCTGTGGAGACGGCCATGTTGGTCAGCCTGACCGGGGTCAAGTGTCTCCTGGCCAACCAGTGGCACTGTACCCTGGCAGAGACTGCCAACAGGTTAAAGGTCAACATGAAAGGTAAATCATGCAGGTCAGAGTCTAATGTCAATGTTGTACATATAAATCAGCATGATCCGTGGGTATACAGACATCACAGATGAGGTTTGTAGCCACACACAAAGTCTAATGTCAATGTTGTACATATAAATCAGCATGATCCGTGGGTATACAGACATCACAGATGTGGTTTGTAGCCACACACAAAGTCTAATGTGGTGCCAAGGAGGAGATGCCCGAACCCGAGATGTCCTGGTATAACCCGTCTGTTAGTCTTCCAAACATTGTAGTGACAATAGCGTCAGCATCAATAGAATGTTTGTCAGTGACTGTCTACGAAAACTGCCAAAGTGGAGAGCAAATAAATAAAAGGAGAATATGAGCCGATAAAAAATGTGAAAAAAACACACCAATATTTTGATTGGAGGAACAATTTAGTATTTATATGAAAAGTGACATCATATTAATAATGTTAATAGCTTTGATCATTTGTGTGGGTTTTTTTGCATTTAAAATTTAATATTATGTACACTGTGATATTTTGTTGTCTAAAATGTTGGACTTCGCTGGAAAGAGATAACATAGTGCTGTATGTCCGACTGTATCGCCTCCAACTTTGTCACATCAACCTGAACTGATAAAGGAACTTGTGCTTGAGTTTAGGAATTCTCGATTTCAGAGTACCGTAAAACCCCATGTAATTTGCGCAGGTACTTTTTGAGGTATTAACAGATATACAGTCATATATATGTATTTATTGTGAGCATATTAAGGACAATGTCAGGGTTTTTTGAGAGAAACAAAATACTTTTATATTTACTACCAAACTTAATATTTAATAATATTCCGTCCAAACTGAAATTTAAATATTGTGATAAAATTGTGATATTTGATCTACATAATTCTGATTAATATAGTGATTATACTTTCTCTATTTCGAAAACTAATGTTGTGATTGAAATTTGCTTGTTTTTGAATGAGAATAAAGTTAACTATTTTGTGTTAATCCGTGTATTCTTTTCTTGATGACCATTGTGATATCCTGCAAAGTTTTGTCAATCAAATCAATCATTTTCAAGCATGTCATGACTTAATTTCATAATTAATTGATAGTGTTCATTACAGACTTATATCAAGGTTTTCTATAAGATTTCATGTTCCACGTACCCAACGCAAAATAGGCAGTTAATTTCAGTACATTTCATAGTACAAATATTCCCTCATTTTTTCATGAAAGAAGCCGGTGAAATATCCCTAGAAGGAGGGAATTTTTACCCACTACTGGCTACAAATGAAACCCCCGTTAAGGATGTACACCCCTGAGAAGTCAAAAATTTCCTGTATTAAACTTTTTTTCTTATATGGATTTTTGGAAAAAGGAGTTAATGGCATAGTAGAGAATGCAAAAAAAAACATATGTCCGTGTGCTTGTTTTTGTGCTATGATCGGTCAAAGATACCAATTTAACACAATAGGTGATTTTAGGTGATTTTTGGGGTTTTGACCACTTGCAGAACAAATTCATACAATTTCTTCCAAGTGTTTTATCAGATATGTATAAATGTTTGTAGAATTGTTGAAAATATTATTTTCTTTTGAATTATGGAAGTAAAATTTCTTAATCTTATTATTTTAACTCAAAAAGCTGATTTTAGTTACCCCTACCCCCTATTTTTTAATGAAAAAATACTCATTTTTTACAGATTAAACGCTTGATATAAAAAGTTCTGGTATTTAACGTTTTTTTAATATTTCATGAATTAAATGAAAACGTGTTTCTCTTTCTAAAACATCTACAAAAATGGGGGGTCAGTGTGCTTCTTTTTTTGTCCCATTATCATTTGTGTTATTTTTTACTTTTTTCGGGGTCAAAAATCAAAAGTGCTTCAGTCACACTAAATACGTAAAAAAAATATCAATAATGTATAATTTTCCAGTTTGTTGCATATTAATTTTATCATATTGAACATTATAAAGTTGTACAGCAAAAAATGAACCTGCTACTATTAAAAATGGCGACACAATGACAATTTAAGTGATCAATCTAGTGCCAAAAAAGGTGAAATTTTGGCCTTTTTTGAAGCACAAGAAATACACTTTAATACACATTTTCAAAATGGCCGCCGAATTGGTAACTTTTAGCTCACCTGGCACGAAGTGCCAAGTGAGCTTATGCCGTGGCGCGGCGTCCGTCGTCCGGCGTCAATATTTTACTTTAAACGACTTCTTCTTAATAACCGAAAAGCCTAGGGTGTCAATATTTGGCCAGAAGCAAACTTGGATGAAGGGCTACAAAGTTTGTTAAGATTAATGACCTTCACCTATTTTCAAGGTCACAGGGGTCAAATATGTCAAAAACTTTAAACATCTTCTTCTCAATAACCAAAATGCACAGGGTGATGATATTTGGCCAGTAGCTAGCTGAGATGAAGGGCTACAAAGTTTGTTCAAATGCATGACCTTCAACCATATTCAAGGTCACAGGGATCAAATATGTTAAAAACTTTAAACAACTTCTTCTGAATAACCAAAATGCCCAGGGTGATGATATTTAGTCAGTAGCATACTAGGATCAAGGGCTACCAAGTTTGTTTAAATGTATGACCTTGAATCATATTTGTTCAAAATATTTCAACAACTTGTTCTGAATAACCAAAAGGCTCAGGATGTTGATATTTAGTCAGTAGCATATGCTGGGATCAAGGACTACTTTGTTTGTTAAAGTGAATGACTTTGACTTATATTCAAGGTCACAGGGGTCAAATTTGTTTAAAATCTTTAAACAACCTCTTCTGAATAACCATGGGTCCCAGGATGTTTATACTTTGCAAGTTGCATCCTGAGATGAAAGGCTATACAATGTGTTCAACATAATGACTTTGTTCGACTTTCAATCACAGGGGTGAAATGTTCAAAAAACAAATAACGGGTCTTTTGAATGAATTTTAATCATAAATACTGATATTTTGCCTGCAGCTTTATTTCAGATCACTTTTAAGGTTACAAGTGTGAGTTTTATACCAGGTGAGCGATGCAGGCCCATTGGGCCTCTTGTTTTAAATCTCTGTAAAAAAAGTTCTACAAACAACAGGCATCTAGTTTTTTGACGTATTTTCTTATTAATTCAATCGTAATTTGTTAAATATTACAAAAACCCGTTACACCAGATCAAAACGAGACTTGAACGTGACTGAAACCTCAGAAGAGTACATCTTTAAATACAATGTTAAACTTTACAATAGATTTTATATTACTTTGGTTTACGAGGGCTGTATTGGGTAAAGTACAACAAAGCTGAGCTCGGATACAAACCTCACAAATCAGGTTATATATATCCATCAGAAAAACTCCAGTTCAGAGAGTACTTATCAGGTCACTGGCCATTTGTTGGGTTTGCCACAATGTATATGTCAAGTGGAATGGGTTCGAGGTAATAAGTGCAGACTTGGCATGGCCTCCTGTTCTGTCGCATCACTACTACTAATGGGTAAATCGTTAACTACAGCCCTGCATTAGAGATATAGGTACTCATACTCATCGTACTCATAGATGGTAATCAGGGTGAATGTGCGTCTGTCTATCTTCCTTCCGCACTTTTGTTTCTGAATATTACCTTAGAATACAGAAGTTTACATTTCTTAATTTTACATGTTGATACCCCTATCAAAAGAAAGTTATCCCCTCATATAAATACCTCATTGGCTTGAATATTTTAGATTGAAAAATGGTCTGGAAATTAAAAAACTCCAACTAGGACTTCCATTTTAGTTATTCAACAATCTTACTTCAAGTTAAACACAAAGAAACAAACAAATTAAACATTTTATTTGTCTTAAAAATCAACAACATTTTCTGTAATAGGTAAAAAAATACATTCTTCTTCCAATTATTAGAGGTAAAGGAAGAGATAAAACTGAGAAGTTTTAAAAATATTGTATACATTAATCATTTAACTTATAAAAATGTAGATTTAACAACTATGTCACTTATTCACCTGTTCATGTTGTATATGAACAGTTAACTTAATCATAGATTACCTCAATTATAACAGTAAAGTATATATGGCACCAACATAGAAATATTGAAGGGAGATAACTCTATGCTTTAGTCAACATCATACACCACACCAAGTTGCTTGCGGACCTCATCAGTAATGGTCATTACCATCTCACTGTGGCGATGGGACATGGCCTCGCATTCTTTTTTACCTATGATGTAAAAAAATATATAATCATGTTGATCCTACAGCTAAGCATTGATTGTTCCCATCATTGGTTAAATAGGTACGCTGACGAAATGACTAAGGCTACATTGGTTAAATAGGTACGCTGACGAAATGACTAAGGCTACATTGGTTAAATAGGTACGCTGACGAAATGACTAAGGCTACATTGGTTAAATAGGTACGCTGACGAAATGACTAAGGCTACATTGGTTAAATAGGTACGCTGACGAAATGACTAAGGCTACATTGGTTAAATAGGTACGCTGACGAAATGACTAAGGCTACATTGGTTAAATAGGTACGCTGACGAAATGACTAAGGCTACATTGGTTAAATAGGTACGCTGACGAAATGACTAAGGCTACATTGGTTAAATAGGTACGCTGACGAAATGACTAAGGCTACATTGGTTAAATAGGTACGCTGACGAAATGACTAAGGCTACATTGGTTAAATAGGTACGCTGACGAAATGACTAAGGCTACATTGGTTAAATAGGTACGCTGACGAAATGACTAAGGCTACATTGGTTAAATAGGTACGCTGACGAAATGACTAAGGCTACATTGGTTAAATAGGTACGCTGACGAAATGACTAAGGCTACATTGGTTAAATAGGTACGCTGACGAAATGACTAAGGCTACATTGGTTAAATAGGTACGCTGACGAAATGACTAAGGCTACATTGGTTAAATAGGTACGCTGACGAAATGACTAAGGCTACATTGGTTAAATAGGTACGCTGACGAAATGACTAAGGCTACATTGGTTAAATAGGTACGCTGACGAAATGACTAAGGCTACATTGGTTAAATAGGTACGCTGACGAAATGACTAAGGCTACATTGGTTAAATAGGTACGCTGACGAAATGACTAAGGCTACATTGGTTAAATAGGTACGCTGACGAAATGACTAAGGCTACATTGGTTAAATAGGTACGCTGACGAAATGACTAAGGCTACATTGGTTAAATAGGTACGCTGACGAAATGACTAAGGCTACATTGGTTAAATAGGTACGCTGACGAAATGACTAAGGCTACATTGGTTAAATAGGTACGCTGACGAAATGACTAAGGCTACATTGGTTAAATAGGTACGCTGACGAAATGACTAAGGCTACATTGGTTAAATAGGTACGCTGACGAAATGACTAAGGCTACATTGGTTAAATAGGTACGCTGACGAAATGACTAAGGCTACATTGGTTAAATAGGTACGCTGACGAAATGACTAAGGCTACATTGGTTAAATAGGTACGCTGACGAAATGACTAAGGCTACATTGGTTAAATAGGTACGCTGACGAAATGACTAAGGCTACATTGGTTAAATAGGTACGCTGACGAAATGACTAAGGCTACATTGGTTAAATAGGTACGCTGACGAAATGACTAAGGCTACATTGGTTAAATAGGTACGCTGACGAAATGACTAAGGCTACATTGGTTAAATAGGTACGCTGACGAAATGACTAAGGCTACATTGGTTAAATAGGTACGCTGACGAAATGACTAAGGCTACATTGGTTAAATAGGTACGCTGACGAAATGACTAAGGCTACATTGGTTAAATAGGTACGCTGACGAAATGACTAAGGCTACATTGGTTAAATAGGTACGCTGACGAAATGACTAAGGCTACATTGGTTAAATAGGTACGCTGACGAAATGACTAAGGCTACATTGGTTAAATAGGTACGCTGACGAAATGACTAAGGCTACATTGGTTAAATAGGTACGCTGACGAAATGACTAAGGCTACATTGGTTAAATAGGTACGCTGACGAAATGACTAAGGCTACATTGGTTAAATAGGTACGCTGACGAAATGACTAAGGCTACATTGGTTAAATAGGTACGCTGACGAAATGACTAAGGCTACATTGGTTAAATAGGTACGCTGACGAAATGACTAAGGCTACATTGGTTAAATAGGTACGCTGACGAAATGACTAAGGCTACATTGGTTAAATAGGTACGCTGACGAAATGACTAAGGCTACATTGGTTAAATAGGTACGCTGACGAAATGACTAAGGCTACATTGGTTAAATAGGTACGCTGACGAAATGACTAAGGCTACATTGGTTAAATAGGTACGCTGACGAAATGACTAAGGCTACATTGGTTAAATAGGTACGCTGACGAAATGACTAAGGCTACATTGGTTAAATAGGTACGCTGACGAAATGACTAAGGCTACATTGGTTAAATAGGTACGCTGACGAAATGACTAAGGCTACATTGGTTAAATAGGTACGCTGACGAAATGACTAAGGCTACATTGGTTAAATAGGTACGCTGACGAAATGACTAAGGCTACATTGGTTAAATAGGTACGCTGACGAAATGACTAAGGCTACATTGGTTAAATAGGTACGCTGACGAAATGACTAAGGCTACATTGGTTAAATAGGTACGCTGACGAAATGACTAAGGCTACATTGGTTAAATAGGTACGCTGACGAAATGACTAAGGCTACATTGGTTAAATAGGTACGCTGACGAAATGACTAAGGCTACATTGGTTAAATAGGTACGCTGACGAAATGACTAAGGCTACATTGGTTAAATAGGTACGCTGACGAAATGACTAAGGCTACATTGGTTAAATAGGTACGCTGACGAAATGACTAAGGCTACATTGGTTAAATAGGTACGCTGACGAAATGACTAAGGCTACATTGGTTAAATAGGTACGCTGACGAAATGACTAAGGCTACATTGGTTAAATAGGTACGCTGACGAAATGACTAAGGCTACATTGGTTAAATAGGTACGCTGACGAAATGACTAAGGCTACATTGGTTAAATAGGTACGCTGACGAAATGACTAAGGCTACATTGGTTAAATAGGTACGCTGACGAAATGACTAAGGCTACATTGGTTAAATAGGTACGCTGACGAAATGACTAAGGCTACATTGGTTAAATAGGTACGCTGACGAAATGACTAAGGCTACATTGGTTAAATAGGTACGCTGACGAAATGACTAAGGCTACATTGGTTAAATAGGTACGCTGACGAAATGACTAAGGCTACATTGGTTAAATAGGTACGCTGACGAAATGACTAAGGCTACATTGGTTAAATAGGTACGCTGACGAAATGACTAAGGCTACATTGGTTAAATAGGTACGCTGACGAAATGACTAAGGCTACATTGGTTAAATAGGTACGCTGACGAAATGACTAAGGCTACATTGGTTAAATAGGTACGCTGACGAAATGACTAAGGCTACATTGGTTAAATAGGTACGCTGACGAAATGACTAAGGCTACATTGGTTAAATAGGTACGCTGACGAAATGACTAAGGCTACATTGGTTAAATAGGTACGCTGACGAAATGACTAAGGCTACATTGGTTAAATAGGTACGCTGACGAAATGACTAAGGCTACATTGGTTAAATAGGTACGCTGACGAAATGACTAAGGCTACATTGGTTAAATAGGTACGCTGACGAAATGACTAAGGCTACATTGGTTAAATAGGTACGCTGACGAAATGACTAAGGCTACATTGGTTAAATAGGTACGCTGACGAAGTGACTAAGGCTACATTGGTTAAATAGGTACGCTGACGAAATGACTAAGGCTACATTGGTTAAATAGGTACGCTGACGAAGTGACTAAGGCTACATTGGTTAAATAGGTACGCTGACGAAATGATTAGGCTACATTGGTTAAATAGGTACGCTGACGAAATGACTAAGGCTACATTGGTTAAATAGGTACGCTGATGAAATGACTAAGGCTACATTCCCATACCCCTCAATCTACACATTCCAAATTTTCCTGAAGTCAGCCTCGGTTCATAATTGGTTTCCAAACTTGAAGACATCAATTTTCAGAGTTATTTCATGTATATATGTGAAGAGGCTGCCAGCGTTCACGTGGCAGCTCATTACCAGTATCAGGATTTTACAGACTTACCAAATTTTTGAAATTTCCATGTGAGAGATTCTGCATTCTCAAAATTAAAATCTATATAAAATGTGTATTCACCCCCTAGGGACAAAAGGACTCTTTACAACGACATATCTTAAATTGTTCTTTCTGATGAAAGCATTATATCTTAGAATGTACAAATAGTTTTAGCAAATCGAATGGGTGTCTCCCTCCTAAATAGGGAGAGTTGACATTAAGTATGGTTTTAGTGATTTTTTTGCATCAATCAACAAGTTCCAGTGGAGCCACGCTGATCTCAACACATTGGTTCCCAGAGAAAATATCCAGATAAACAAGACATAATTTTTGCAGATCATGACATATTTATTTTTAATACTTTGTGTGAATGTACATAATGTTAATTGCTGTTAACAGATAAATGTGTCCATTAACAATGAGATACCATGTCGGCACCAGAGTCTTGTCAAACACGACTACGTGCTCACGGAGCCAGGCTGGAACATTTCAACTTTACCAAAAATGTTTACTGCCTACACAAAATTTCCAGCCTGGAGATTGAATGTTATAAGGAATGTGACTATTTCAGGTCCAGAAAGCAAATTTCTGGGTTAATGAGTTCAATTAATGTTGTGGAAACCTGACTGTTGCCTGGAGTTTTAGTTTTCCTGATTAACCTCGATGGGATTAATGTGCTTCAACTGTATTCCAAATTAAATCTGAAGGTTTATATATTTACTTCATCATTCACAAATAGCTCAATATGATATATCTAGACTGCAGATGAATAGGAGATATTTGATGTATAAACACTACCATATAAAGTTACAATAAGTTCAACATACCTTCAAGAATGGCCTTGCGGGCATGGTCTGCCTCGTACCTCATTCCTCCACTGTTGATGAAGTTAAAGGGGTGCCGCCCCTCAGGAACCTCATTGGTGACAACGCCTGATGGAAATGTGGCTTTCTCTGGGCACCAGAAGTGGTCGGGTATCTAATGAAATGACAGTTTTTTTTTACTATTATGGTCTTTATTTTAACATTCCAAATATTGTGAGGGTGCAAAATGACATGCTCAAATCATTATTGTATCACTGACATTTGTACTGTGTAGGAGCATGCTCGAAATCATTGCTATTTCAATGACATATGTGAAGTAACTTTTCAAAGTTAATCCTTGAAAATTTCAAAATGGGGCAGATGTAGAAATCTGTAGTACAATTGTATGAAAAATTCATCAAAATGTTTTGATATTTTTTGTATCCTGTATATTTTCAGTATTATCTTTACACAATATCCCAGAAATCATGTTATCATGTAAACACTATCATGCATGAATGATGTTTACAGCACACACTAACACATGCAGGAATCATGTTATCATGTTAACACTATAATACATGAATGATGTTTACAGCACACACTAACACATGTAGGAATCATGTTATCATGTAAACACTATAATACATGAATGATGTTTACAGCACACAATAACACATGCATGAATCGTGTTATCATGTCAACACTATAATACATGAATGATGTTTACATTACATGCAGGGATCGTCACTAACATATCCGGTGTGCACATGTAGTAACGACAACAGTTTATAGGTAAGACAAATCAACAGATAAGGTTGTAGAACTATCAAATTTGAAGGAAATACAGAACCGTATTTCACAATAAAATTCCACCTGCATTTGAAGCTATGGAGACAGTTTCCAAGACTGGGAATTTTCCGGGGAAATTAAACCTGCAAAATGTACAAGCAGAAGCTTTTTGTTTGCCAGTTTTCAATTCCAAATTTTATGCATATTTTTAAGTACTCTATTATACAGGGTCTTATATGTATTTCTTTTCATCAACATCGACCATGATGTCATGTGTTGTTTTAATTCTGATGTCACCGTAAGTTTATTGCATGAGACAATACACAAAAACAAATGTCATTGGTGTATTCATCATACAACAAAGTCGTTATGTTATAATAATGATAATTATAATATACAACATTTATATAGCACCCTATATAATTTTAAAATTACTCTAAAGCGCTTTACAACATATACATAACAGTATTAGTTAAATTTGATATACACAAAGGCTTACAATCACCATTATACGTTAAGCAAGAAGATAATCATCTCAATGTGCACATAAATGAATAAATAAAGGGTGGTATATACACGACGTCTGTGCAATAAGTGTGATATGTACACAAGTAATAAACTGTTTTCACACAATTCCCAGCATACACATTACAGCGTTTCATGTAGAAATGATCCTGTCACTGATTACCTCGATGTTGGCCTTTGTACCGTTGATACTGGCAGAACACTGAGTGACACAGGTACGACCAGAGTAAGTCAGATTAGCCATCCCGCCTCCCTTATACTTCAGGATGACACAGCCTCCCTCATCCATACCTGTCAACGAAAAGCCATTGGGCTATTTTATTTTACCAGATCTATCTATTATGGCTACATTTGCGTATCCAGTTCAAACGGTTGAACCGGTTGAACCTGTAAAGAAAACGACAGGTACAGATTTGGACCGAGGATAACCTCAGGAAAATTTGGTGCGTGTAGATTGAGGGGTCCAGACGTACCTGACCGAAACTAAAATGCTGACAATGTCAAGTCACATGTAATTTTTAAGATACGTTATGTAATTTAGTGGAAGCATGAGAGAAAGGCATAATATTCTTGATATATTGTTTTTTATTCTCCGAAACTGTGGATTTTTAGCTCTGCTTATAGAACGGTTCAAGTGTGTTTGTTTATCGTCGAAAATTTCTGCGCCACACGTACCGTTTCAACCGGAATACGCGAATGTAGCCTATAAAACATTTCAGATCCTCAGATTTCACCAAGAGTCTTAAATTTTCCTCAACTCCATGAGTTTTCATATTGGTGCAATCTGATTATGTTGACAAGAATTTAGTTGACATCATTACCCTCAGTTTTCATATTTCTGGTATCTGATAACACAACTCTAGGTCTGGGAGTTCTGTAGCACCAGTCATTCAAAACTGTTAACAGAATTGATCCCATGCAGCTTTCATTGTGGCTCACACTGATTTGTCTGAATAAACTGACTTCACTCCAGCACACTCCAGCCTAAATTATCTGTCGTGCTAGCACAGGTAAAACCGGTCAGCGTAACCGTGACCATTGGGGCTTCATCATCATGATTCGCGGAGGACAATCTGCTTTGAAGAACCGCGGTGTAGTTATCACCGCATGTTTTGGTGACATGATCACGTGACATTTGTCATCAGGGATCGCGATGACGCTGTTTTCAAGGTCCCTGATGTCGGTTTTGGGTGACAGGCCACCGCGATTGGCCACCCAAACAGATAATTGGTCATCAAGTGAACGCGACGGATTAGTAATTTCTATGCGCTGTACTGTACATGTTAAGAATCATGATTAAACCCCATGGTTGTTACGATAAGAATCGTTTGAAAATTGATGCTAAACAAAACATCCATTAAGCTCACAATTCCTTTATATCGGGGGGATTTAAAACTACAACAAAACTTAAAACCAAAATGTTACAACTTTGTTTCAAATGTGGGTATTGAGAACAGTGAGTTTATACCTGAAAAGATTACTGTCATTTGTAAACCCTGAAGGTAAAATATTCTCTAAAAGGCATACCACCGTCAAACCTAACTCAACTAAAATCAACAGGAACTAAATCAATGGGTTGGTAGCGATATTGTGTTGGTAATGTCGGGGAAAACAAAAATTAAGTCTTCTGGGGGGTCAATTTGTTTATAATGAAACAGTTATAATTAGCGTACCCTGATCGTTGAGTACTCCATCCACCGTTATTTTCACTGGCATTTCATCGTACACCATACAGGCCAGCTGGACAGTGTACATGCCAATGTCCATCATACAGCCTCCACCTAACGCTTTCTCTTTAATTCTTTCAACATCCTTGATAGGAATTGAAAATTTGGCCGTCACCAACTCCACATCTCCTAGGCTACCAGATGCAATTTCTGCTTTAATCTTCTCATAAATTGGGAAACATCTGCTCCATGTAGCCTGAAAATTAAACCGTGAATTTGACCTGTATCACTTCATGCTGCCACTAGACCTAATAAACCAAAATTGACCATTTCAGCAAATCCGTGAAAATAAAGGACCCCCCCCCCCCCCCCCCAAAAAAAGGGTGTTTAAAGAACTTCATGTAAAAAAACACTTATTGTGCATTATAATTAAAACAACACATTACATCACATTGAACACTGTGACATTGAAGAAACCATAGATATGTTGTAATAGATACAGAAAACATCTTTTTACTTGCATTCATTGCAATATGACAAAAAGGATCTTCAATTTGTTTCCATGTCAGGTGAGAATAATAAAATTCATCCTGATGTTTCTGTTTTAACTTGGCAAATCCCTGCTAAAAGAAAACTTCTTATTTTGTTCCATAACTCAATTCAAAATGCAGAATGTAGCACATTTCCCCTTAGCAGATTTGTGCATGCATGTGTAATGATAAAGTACTAAACATCCTATTTCACTTCAGCTTACCTCCATGAAGAAGAGGTTCTTTTGCTTGGCTAGTTGTAGAACACTTTTGGCCTGTTTCATATTGAGGGCCATGGGTTTCTCACACAGAACGTGTTTCCCAGCATTTAACATCATCAGACTCAACTCCATATGATTGATGTTGATGGTGCCGATATAGACAATATCTGTAAGAAGTCACAGGACAGGATGTGTTTGGTGTTAATATAGATGATATTTATAAGAACTAGATTAGTATGGCCTTCATGGATACACCCCACCACAACCATATCTGTTCCTACATAGAGTTGGGTAGTTGAGGTCAAGGTCAAATAGTTGGATGTTCACCTCATGAACCTCATTTTATTACACCTTACTGTGATCACCTGATCTTAGCAACAAATCTGTCTTCATCGCATGAAATAGAAGGTATGATACCTTATGGAAACCTACATCTATGCTGTATTTTAAACTCGAGTCCACAATGAGGTTGAAGAGAACCAACTTTATAACCCAACATATTCTTTGACTATAAAATAGTCACACTAAATTTAAAGTTGATACATGAAATGGTGGTCAATGTTTGCTTTGGAAACTTGTATTACACTGTACAAAGTACTTGCGGTTAAGGTATAGGACAAATAGAGGTCGCAATGACCTCTTTTTCCGATGTGACACACTGCCATCCTATGATGTACCTATTTACAAAGTTGAATGCCCATTTGTGAAACAGTTGCTTAGATACATCCAAGAAACAATAGTTAGCATGGAAGAATGCATGCACACCTGAACAAAGTGAATACCATATATACCTCTTACTTCAGTTGAAGTAGGGAAGTAGGGGTGTCAAAATTCTCTCAGAAATATCAATAACATATTACTAACCAACATTAGGATCCTTTGATAGTGCTTCATAAGAATCGTAGGCAACCTCTGACCCAAATTTGTCACCAAACTCCTTGGCACTCTCCAGCTTCCTGGCGGCTACTGCCACTACCTACACAAATATACAACAAGGGATGTCACTGTTAAGGAAGATAGGCACACTAACTTTCTACTGAATATAGACCTTGAGAATACTCTTCCTTTGAAGTTTATGTTATTTCCTCTATATTAACACAATTGCAATTACAGGCCTTTTTTCGGGAGTTAAAACATTGTAAGTTACTTCCAGCACTCTTTTGATGGCCAGTCAGGGTGCAGGGGATAAGTTACCTGCTTCAAACCAGGAATTTCTGTGGTGGTGATGTTTTTGTGAAAAGAGAAATTGTAATAAATATATTTCTTTCTTGTACAATTCTTTGCTATTAATATAAATTGGGAAACAATTCAAAGGTTGGAATAGTTCATTATGGAATTTCAGGGGTGAAATAGTTAACAGATCTCCTGCAATACAAGGCCTCTTTGTGGACTTCCTGGACGTGTTCTCTAAATCGATTGTACTGAATCCCTAACATTTTTATCAATAAATCTGACAAATACAACAGTGGGTACCTTATGTTCTCCATCAGGTAGTGTTGTCATGGCAGAGCAGAAGTCGTTGGAGATCTTTCCTGCACCACAGATCCCCCATCTTAGACATTTGGTTGTCATGTTTTACTCTTTCAACACAAGAGAAAAATGGGGGAAAAAATCAAGATTAAATGAATTCTCCACAAGGCAAAGTATCATAAGCAATTTATAGTCCCCAACCTCTGGAAAACTTTGGTGTTTAACATTAACAAAGGGCCATAACTCTTTACATATAGTGTGGCATAAAAAACAAATTACACAGATTGAAATACTGACAGAAAATGAAAATAGACAAAGTAGTGAATTTGGAGTTTAACTTTTTCAATTGTAGATGACAAGATTATTAAGATATTCAATGGACAATATGACTCATGCTGAAAAAGGGCTATAACTCTGTTTATAGTAGAGCACAAGCCCAACTATGGTCTACACAACTAAGAGGCAAAGGGTAGCATGTTTGGTTAAAAGGCTATCAGGTTTGTCCAAATAAATGAAAATGACCATCAAAATGTTTAAACAACTTCTGTATAACCAAGAGGTGAAGGGTCATGACATTCGGCATGTAGCATGATGGGACGCATCTTGCCACCGACAAAACTTTAATGTTGCTGAACTAGTCAGCATGGTCAGACTCAGTGGCTGGATTGGTGTTGGCCTGCACGTTACATTTGGTGGCAGCGGTGGGAATTAAGGTGTATTGGTACACAGGGAGTACCTCCAGGATTCCCCAGGCAGAGCATATACAAAATTTAGTATCATGATTTTTGGCCTGTATCTTCCCCATCTTGCTTGATTGCAGAGTATGAGTATACTATCTGGTTTGTTCAAAGCAGTGAAATTATTAGCTTTCAACATCAGAGCTAGAGTCAAAGAGGTCAGAATATAGTGAAAAGCTGCAATGATTTGATTTTCTTTTTATAAAATAAATACATCCATTGGAAAATGTGGAGCTTTGGAAAAACTGTTTTCAAGTTTTATCATAATTAAGTGATCCAGCTTGATATGTTACAGGTAATTTTAAAGTGAAATTATGCTATTTGATGTTTTTTAATTGCTCGTTGATAAATTTGTGGAGTTATACACAGTCCAAACTGGTAGATCTGCACAAAATACATTTTGAAACGGCCCCTCTAAAAGGACACCTGTTATCAGTAAAACGTTTTGAGATGACTCCGTGAGCTATAAAGCAATTTTGGCATTTCAAAGCAGAGTTTACAGTAGTTTTCAAACTAAATAATCACAGTCTTCATATTGCATTTTAAAGAAGTGACAAATATAATGTGTTAGCGTTGGTATGTTTCATAAACTGGTATAAAGTGGCCCTCCAAAGTTCTTCCCAGTTTACCTTCGAACCGAAATCGTTGTCGCGTAAAAGCTTGAAAAAGATCTCGTTTGCAACCGTTATTTTGGCGTGAGTTACGAAAATTAAAGATGGCGACGGGCCGTCGCTCCATGCTCCAAAATGAACCAAGTTCTCCGTCTCACAACGATCCAGGTCGAGATTTATTTGAAGCTTGTAGAAATGGAGATTTGAACAAAGTAAAGAAACTAGTTAACCACCATAATGTGAACGCGAAGGATACTGCTGGAAGAAAGTCAACCCCTCTTCATTTCGCTGCAGGTTTGTCTCCTTTCCCTCCTTGGAATGATGTTATTGTTTACATGAGTGTTAATTTGACTAATTTATACTCCTGAATGGCGATATTAAAGCTGATTCTTATAACAGTATCATCTTATGATAATAGAAGTGTATGATTCTTTGAAGAATTGTGGGATTTATTGAAATTATACTAACAAATTGCTGACAAACAAAACAAAAGGTTGAGTTGAAACAGCTGACACACGTACGACATCCGTCTGTCTTGAAACCCGACACGATAGACGATACCGATTTATTACATTGAAAATGAATCGAATATGCAGTTTATCAGGTCCGTTATAAGTTGATGTATTTTTCAATTAAAACGTTTCATATTATCTATCCAGATACGTTTTCATTATTATACCAGTCTGTTTGAACCGTTTTGACAGTTTGAGTTGTGACAACTAATCAAATACACTCATCTTCATAAGACAAGCACTGCCAATTTATTAACTATTTAGTAGCTTTAGTTTAAGGCCATAATTTGAGCTATTTCAAAACAGGACCATTTGGCAAGGCATTTGGGAATTTTCAGCGCAAACATCTATTAAATGAAACTTTTTGTTGTTAAATGCGTGCAGCTATTGTAAAATTCCATTTTTTTAAAATTCCAATATATGACTTAAATAAGTTTTACAACCACAATGAGTTGGTAGGCAAGAAACTTTGATTAGAAAATCCATGTTTATAAATAGAGATTTTTTGTTTTAACCTGCATTTAAGAAAGGGGTTATTTTACATTCTACCATGTCTGTGATGTAACGACGGTTTTCATTGGTTAAAAAGAGTGCATTATTGAGCGATATACCATGCATGTGCCAATAACCAATGCACGTAAAATAGTGCGCACGCATGCTGTTGCAACAACCTCCTCATATTTTATCATGAATTAACAAAAATAGTTAACTGTCAGGTGGGATCAAAATATTTGACAGGCCTGCCATTCAAAAGATTACACGGATCTATAGACCTAAAGTATGTGGGTCCGTGCAATGAAAATGGTTTATTAATTATTGACATTTAAAATGTACAGGTCTGAAGACAAAATGGTGAATTATCAATTACTTCTGTTTTTACTTCACTTGGTGGTGCCGTACATTTCACGATGTGTGCAGTGTGTGTACGTACTGTCAAGCATTGATTTCATGTTTTGACGAACGATGTCGATAGCATGCCAATGTTTGATTGATTGAAATAAACATCGTACATGTATCTGACGTCACACGTGTTCAGTTGTTTTTGGTCTGCAAAACGTCATCTGCTTTCAAAAAATCAAAGTGATGTCGAGCATTCGCCTACAGTGTACATACCGTGTGTGAAGAATAATGTTGCAAAAAGTAGCATCGGTCTGAACAGTGGTTGCAAAACACAGCGGTCTTGTGAAATCGATGATGGTCGCGTCATGATCAGCCGGTCAGCGACTTTCCATCACGTCATGGCAACCAACTTAATATGCCAACTCATGTCAGGCCTATCGTATGATGTTGTATCACTGGCACTTCCAAGAAAATCTGCTTGGTATTGGTACGATGATGATGGTTTTAGAAGTAAACACAATCCGGGAATCCCAACCCTAAGCACTGAGAAATGTTGGCGCGACATTGATCAAGTTAAAACGAGGCAACACGATCACGTGATAAATCTTGCACGCGCAAAAGCTTAAGGACAGCGTTTAATTTGCATATCGAATTATCTAGGTCATGTCGCCTTATAAGACAGTAAAACTTTACAATTAGTTACATTTGACGTGGTAGAATATGTTGATTATTTCTTAAGTATAAAAGGACAATGGGATGTGGGAGGTTAGGAGAGAATAGTAAACACATGTTTTAATCAAAGTGCAAATGTTCTGTCATTGACAGGATTTGGACGGAAGGACGTTGTTGAGCATTTATTGGAGTGTGGAGCAAACGTCCATGCTAAGGACGATGGCGGACTCATATCTCTGCACAATGCATGTTCATTCGGACATGCAGAAGTGGTACAGCTGCTATTACGCAATGGGGGTGATGCCAACGCGCGTGACAACTGGAACTACACGCCTCTTCACGAGGCTGCAATCAAAGGGAAAATAGATGTTTGTATTGGTGAGTAAATTCTGTTCTTAATAGCATATCTTAGTCATTTAATTTACTTATATTTATATAATTCTTTATTTGTTTTATGAGGATTACAAACAGTCATTGGCTAAGAGTTGGCCTCATCACATGTAACACATAAATACATAATATGACAATTCACGGACATGAATTTCCACCAACAAACACCAATCATACTCACGCGTCCTCATACAAAAGTTTGAAATAAGATGATATGCAAATTCTAAAAAATATATAGGCTTAACAAACACCAGGATGTCTTAAGATAAAGTTTGCTATAGCTCACTGCTGTATTGGTACATCTTTAAGAAACCACAGGAGTGATAAGTTTACCCTAGCTTTGTAGGCATAAAGAACCACAGGAGGTCTAAGACATTGTTTGCTATAGCTTTAGACATAATAAACCACAGGAGGTCTAAGTTATTGTTGATATAGCTATAGGCATAATAAACTACAGGAGGTCTAAGTAATTGTTGATATAGCTACAGGCATAATAAACCACAGGAGGGCCAAGTTATTGTTGATAAAGCTGTAGGCATAATAAACCACAGGAGGGCCAAGTTATTGTTGATATAGCTGTAGGCATAATAAACCACAGGAGGTCTTAAGTAATTGTTGATATTGCTATAGGCATAATAAACCACAGGAGGTCTAAGTAATTGATATAGCAGTAGGCATAATAAACCACAGGAGGTCGAAGTAATTGTTGATATAGCTATAGGCATAATAAACTACAGGAGGTCTAAGTAATTGTTGATATAGGTGTAGGGATAATAAACCACAGGAGGTCTATGTAATTATTGATAAAGGTATAGGCATAATAAACCACAAGGGGTCTTAAGTAATTGTTGATATAGCTGTAGGCATAATAAACAACAGGAGGTCTATGTAATTATTGATATAGGTATAGGCATAATAAACCACAGGAGGTCTAAGTAATTATTGATATAGGTATAGGCATAATAAACCACAAGGGGTCTTAAGTAATTGTTGATATAGCTGTAGGCATAATAAACCACAGGAGGTCTATGTAATTATTGATATAGGTATAGGCATAATAAACCACAGGAGGTCTAAGTAATTGTGTGCTATAGCTGTAGGCATAATAAACCACAGGAGGTCTAAGTGGTAATATGTTATAGCTATAAACATAATAAACCACAGGAGGTCTAAGTAATTGTTGATATAGCTGTAGGCATAATAAACCACAGGAGGTCTATGTAATTATTGATATAGGTATAGGCATAATAAACCACAGGGGGTCTAAGTAATTGTTGATATAGCTATAGGCATAATAAACAACAGGAGGTCTAAGTGGTAATATGTTATAGCTATAGGCAAAAGAAACCACAGGAGGTCTAAGTGGTAATATGTTATAGCTATAAACATAATAAACCACAGGAGGTCTAAGCAATTGTTGATATAGCTGTAGGCATAATAAACCACAGGAGGTCTAAGTGGTAATATGTTATAGCTATAGGCATAATAAACCACAGGAGCTCGAGGTCTAAGTTATTGTTGATATAGCTGTAGACAAAATAAACCACAGGAGGTCTAAGTGGTAATATGTTATAGCTATATTAGCATTACAAATCATGGAGAACCTAAACTTGTCATTACTTTGCTATAACTATATAAGCATATCAAACCACAGGAGGTCTTAAACATTAGTGCCCTAGCTTTATAAGCATCATGCCTTACAGAATTTGACGTCTGGAGTGATAATTTTGTATCAGAGAACGCAAATATAATGTTATTGTAAATAATTTGCATGAGAATTTGCTATAACACAAGATACATTATCTAGGTTTCTGTTGATTAAATCAAACTGCACAATCTACACAGTAAAGTCTGATTATGTTTCAGTGTATCGTTGTATATTATCACACCAGAGCTGAATTTGTATAATGTATTTCTTTCATGATTGAAATGACCAAAAAAAGGATTCCATATGATATGATTCCAATTTTTCGTATGATAAAAAATAAACAATTTTTTGATGATTTTGATCCATGGGAATTCAAAGTTATTGTAAACTTGTTAAATCAAGAGGTAAGCATAAAATTGGTAGCAATAAAACCGTCAAAACCTTCTCCAGATTTACACGGGTGTACAGGTATATGAGATTGTATTGACATCCTGTTGATCTATAACTGTCACTGATGCAGTGATTATAAAGCCTATGGCTATGTGGGTGGGTGTCTAGGAACATGGTCAGTCACACTCTACAACCAGAGGGTCAGAAAACATATATATGACCTCATTCTGTGTGAGATAGTGTCCATTGATCCCTGATGTAGACATTGACTACAGAACAGGTAGCCTGGCACCCTCAGCTGTAGGTGTTAGGACATAGTAATGTAGCCTCAGGTAGGGAACACAGATGTCAACAGCTTCAGAACAATGCTCCATAGAAAAGCAGACAGGACAGTGATTACAATCTCCTGTATTGGAAACTAATGGCATTATGACACTGACTGATTTCTTATAAGGACTCCTTACAGGTCTTTATCAACTGCAATTTAAATTTATGGTAAACTATACTGATTTTAAGAGAATACTAGTATAGCTTAGCCTTTTGATTTATACCATACATATACTTCATTTCATTCACAACCCTATTTTATTATTTACATTTGTGTCAGCAATAAAATATTTTGGCATTCATAAAAAATGTTGACATACTCCATAAAAAAAGTGGAATAAACCATGATATTTTTGTCAAAACTGCAAAATTAAATTAAATGTTTTAAATTAAAATAAACAAATGAAAATAAGTTGTATATTATAATATATCAATACCAAAAGTCCATGCTTCAAATGGGATAACTAGGATTCAGGAAATATACTCTCAGGAAACGTAATTCTTAAATACCCTATACGTAACTGATAGCCTATTTATTGATACATAAACTTTCCTTCCTGTTATAAATTGTACTATTTTGGTCATATAAGTAGGATATAATGTGATCAATGATAGCCTATACAGTAATCTCCTGGTGATTCAAGGAAATGATGAGTTGTCTTAGTGAGTCTATAAAATATAACCCAGAATGATACAGTACAAGTGTCTTGAATTAGATTGGGTCATCCTGGTAATGTGATTTCCACCTGACACCTATTTGTGCCCAGTGGTGCGTCCAGGCATGACATCATTTGTTTACCTGGAGTTAGTGACACTTGTCAGGTTATGTCCACTTTGTGTTGACAGGGGGGCTGTACATAGTCTACACTATTCAAATACCTACAACTGTTTTACCACTGTGTTACAGTTTGAGTTCAAATTATAGAGACAGTATCTCTCTGATTAACTGAGAGCCCCTAAAGGGCTAGTATACATGCTCTGGGTATATTGTGGGTCAGGTGACCTGGGCTTCTAGTGGTCACTGTTCTGTGCACCAGCTGGCCTGTGATGACCAGTGAGTAGATAAGCCCATGGTGAGCTGTGTTATGATTTTCTCACTGACCACATGTGACAGGAGTAAAGAGAGTATATCTCAATCTGTATGGACAGCTTGCATTGGTACATGTTTGTGTCGCTACCTACTGACCACATGTATTAGGACTCGGTCACATTGATGTGCTAACATTCTTAGAAATCATCACCAAGTGTTGGATGTACTCCCTTGGTTTATGAAAGAATACTTGTGTGATTTTATTTGGAAACTTTAAACACCGCCAGGAATTTTAAACACAGTGTGTTATTCAGTGCAATTAATATCCTGAGGTTTTATTTGGATTCTCAAAAGACAAAAACACAAAAGTGGAAAATGAAGCTTTCTTGGAAATTTTAAGGAGATGTGCTTTATTGTAATATTTGAATGGTACTACAGAAGGAATTATCGAACAGTGAATTATCAATCTTAAAAATGAGGTCACGAAGTGAGAAAAATAGGAGTGGGCGACCTGATACCCAGGGTTACAGCCTGTACGATGTTGGTCTTTCTGATATCTCCTCTATACACCCTGTAAACTATGATAATTATGATACTGTCACTTCCACAGTGCTTCTACAACACTTTGCTGACCCCAACATCCGTAACACTGATGGCAAGATGGCAGTTGACCTGGCTGACCCTTCCGCCAAGGCTGTACTCACAGGTAAGAAACTTGTCATTTTTCATATGTTAACTTACACTATGTTAAAAATTTACATATTCTTTTTCAGAGGACAATATCTGACCTCCCTTATTTCTTGTGATCTAACCACCCTCACTTCCTGTGGATACTTTCAATAGGAAAATTTTGAAAAATATAAAATTCAATATTTTTATCAGAATTTGCATCCAATTTTATATATTTGTATATAAAAATTGCATCAATTTTGTATATAAAAATTGCATCAATTTTATATGTATATATAAAAAAAAAGAACAAAAATTGTAGACATACTAAATACATGCCCTTTGCATTTGAAAACCCTATGATTATAATCTTCATAGAAATAAAGTGAATTCTGAATCTGTAAGATAAAGTTCCCTGTAACTGCATGTTTTAGTTCTCAATTAAGAGACAGAAAAATCCCATCCTATTGACTCAACAAGTGTCAGCCCCTGGATTATAATCAGTTCCCATGGCAACCAAAGAACACTCGGGAATGTTGGCAATCTCAAAATTTGTTCATGTTAGGAAAAATTTTTTGCTTACCAAACAGTTCATATCAAAACGTTCACAACCAATTTTAAACCAGTCAATTAAGTTTAATTTCAAAATATCATAGGTTAGAGCAATTGATTTTCAACTATATATGACCTCTGACCATGACATCAGAATAATTAGTGTATGTAGCATGGTTTTCTTATAGAACAGACAGCAGACCAAAATGACCTACTCAAATCACCTTTTTCTTATATAGCTCATGTATTTTTTTTTAAAGTTGGTCAGTTAGAAATGTCATTTGGTTTAAATTGAAGTTATTGAAGAGCCTGTTTCAGTGGTCAGGACAGGAATGGAGGGATGTGTGGGGTCTTATCCCAGTGTGTCACTTAATTGTGATTAAGATATTATGAAAGTGATAAGTGTTGCCTTGCCAGGATATGTCAGTATGACAACCATTACCGACCTGGCAGGCTTATCAGTTAGCTAACTGAGGGCTCATTTCCTAGTGTCCCATTATGAATTTCTTACGTAAGGAAAGTATAACTGTCTCATTCTGAATATAAGTTAAAAATTCAATCAGAATCATTTTATTCACTTAATTTTTACTGAAATTCTTGTTTGAGTATAATTATGTTACTTGTATAACATTACACAAAGCAATTGGATTAAAAAAGTTTCTTTCTAATTTGAATTTGTGATTTTATTTCATTTAGTATATAAATTTTGTTTTAGTTCACTCTAAGAAATAGTCTTTAATTGAAGCCTTAGCAGAAAATTTAGTTATTACACAACTTCAGTGGCCTTCCTTCATTGATCAGGTAACTGAATATCCTGTAGCACAGTTGGTGGCCGGTCTAGGCTGGGTGCCATGTTATAATTATCGTATCTAGTACAAGTCTATAGGGAAATGGTTGACACATAATTCCACGCTCCATCCTACATTTGTCCTGCTGCCAGCTGTCGAGTATATATAGCCAGAGAAAGGGCAGTATATGATGAGCTTTGTTATTGGCAAAGGAGTAAATTTAAGGTTCATATCATTGTTAAGAAATATGACAGGTTAAATTATAGCCAGCAGCTGATAATTTACAGTTGTAACAGCTTTAATCTTTGGTTTAGGCGTTGAAGCTTGAGTTTTAGAAAAGAGAATAATAACTTGATAAGTTTTTGTCTTGTTAACTCGTGTTTACCAGGTATTGTTTTACACAGTACAGCTACAGACACTGCCTTGCAGTGTTTTACACAATACACACATGATGCATGCCACAGAGCAAATAAACATTGGTATTGATCACCTGCTAATTATGTTACCTCAGGGTTTTTTCTGGAGTTGAGGAATTTTCGTGTACAATATTTGATGACTGTCTTACACTCGGCATGCTGATGGTCAGTGCGGTGATGAAGATCAGGGTATTGACCCTTGAGTAACTGTGTGATGACACACCTACAGACACATGTGTTCGCTGAGAACTTTGTTGGTGCATTGCTCAGGACAGTACAACCTAAGCTGTAGGTATTGCATGCCTGTTACATGTATTTGGGCCACAGAGATGTAGTCAATATCAGAGTGGAAGTATGGCAGACACCATTACCATGTTTATATTCAAGCAACATCATGGATTTGAATAATAATTAACTTTGTACAAAATTGTATGTTATACTATGGTAAGAAAGCAGCCTACTTACATTCATGTCTATTGATTTATAATTCCAGCTATCTTAGTGCATCCTTATGATCAGCAGGTAGGATACTTATATTTAGACATGTTGTGATGGAGTGAAAAACTGTCTGATTAGACAGGTTATCATAAGAACAAGAAATGTCAGATTAGACAAGTATAACCAGCGTTCTATTTGGCTAGTTCAACAGGATTATCATGTCTGTCAATGTCTAATTGGACAGGTTATTATTGAAGTCATTGATGTCAGATTAGACAGGTATTACCAGGATTCTGTTTGACTAATTCAACAGATTTAGAATTAAAACCTAGGATTGTCTTGGTGACATAGGTTTACCTTAGAATGCAGGATTGTCTTGATTGGACAGCTCATATAGGCCAATACTGTATAGCTGTACCTGTTTATAACAGAAGACAGCATGGTCTTATTAGAAAGATTTAAAATGTACGTTGTGGATGTTTTATCAAATAGGTTTTTCCTTAAGGCTAAAATGTCAGATTAAACAAGTTAATCATGCTAGCCAAGAGTGTTTGTTTAGACAGGTAACACTATATTATGTTGGTAATACAACATGTTAATATAAGACCAAGGATTGTCTGATTGTATAGTTTATTATATGGAAGCAAGTAATTTATTTTTAACTGCCAGAATACCCTGATTAGACAGGTTTTAAAAGGATTGCCTTGTGCCTGATTAAACAGGTTTAAAATGTATACCAAAAATGTCAGATTGGACAGGTATATAAGCCAAGAATTTGAAATAGTTTATAGTTAAGAATGTTCTTGATGGACAGGTTTATCATAAAAATCTTGAAAGTCTAAATCAGACAGGTTTATTATGAAAACCAGGAATGTCTGAATTGGATATATGTCATTTTGGACAGGTTTATCAGTGGGACGATGAATGTCTGATTAGACAGGTTAATCAGAGGGACAAATAATGTCTGATTGGACAAGTTAAGCATGGGGACGAATATTGTCAGATTGGACAGGTTTATCTGTGGGGCAAGGATTGTCTGATTGGACAGGTATATCACTGTATTAACATGTTTTACATGAGGCTAAACTGACCCCGATTGTATAGCTTCTACCTTTAATGGATTGTTAGAAGCCAGAACTGACCCTGATTGTATAGCTTGTACCTTTATTGGATTGTTAGTAGCCAGAACTGTCCTGTTTGGGCAGGTGTTACCAGGATTACAATAAGAAACAAAATTGTGTGTGAGTGAAAAATAAAAATAAAATATTCAAAACTGACATGGTTGATAATTGATAATGAAGAGTTTTTTCAGACATAAATAGTTGCAGCACTGGTGTGTAATTATTGACTTCTATGCTTGAGTTCTGAATAAGAAATACTCCAAAATTCATGTTGTTTCTTACAAATATTTACATGAATAAGTTACCTACTAGGTGCTTGAAATGACAACTGAAGGGTTTAACCAGGGAACGTTGGAGCCATATATGGATCTGTAAGAGATGTATATTCTAAAATTGATCCTTCATAGTGTTTGTTACCTTGTGGCCTGACTGTACTGACTTAATCAGACCTATAGAGGGAACTAGACATCAAATATGTATCCACATGTGATCGCTTACTTATTACAGACTTACTGAGGCTACAATGTACCATTCCCTTTCATCCACACACATCCACACACATCCACATCCACACACATCCACACACATCCACATCCACACACATCCACACACATCCATTCACACACATCCACACACATCCACATCCACACACATCCACACACATCCACATCCACACACATCCACACACATCCACATCCACACACACCTGTAAGTTCCCTGGTGTGTTAGACCAGATGTACACATTGTGGCTGATCATCAGCACAGACAGATCACTGGTGTGTGGTAGTCAATGACAAGTCTGTTACAGCTGCTTTACCCAGGCTGTTAACACTGATCATCAGCACAGACAGATCACTGGTGTGGTAGTCAATAAAAAGTCTGATACAGCTGCTGTACCCAGGCTGTTAACACTGATCATCAGCACAGACAGATCACTGGTGTGTGGTAGTCAATGACAAGTCTGTTACAGCTGCTGTACCCAGGCTGTTAACACTGCACACCTACATGACCAATGAGCAATAACAACATGTATTACGGTCTTTAAGTAGGATGTAAAAAAAATTATGTGTCATCGGGTTGTTGTTTTTTTTATCTGAAGACAGAATGTAGCCTTAGCAAAGCTTGTCACTCCATTCTTCAATTTGCATTTGTTTCATATTCTGAATATTGTATTGCAGAAGTATGAAAGTATGTGTGTTGTTATTCAAGAATAACATACAACATGTACGTACATAAAGACAACTCAGTTCATGTGATTACATGTGAAGGAGATTTGTTTTTTACACATTTTGTTATTTCTCACAGTCCAAGGTTGCGAGGTACATGTTAACAGTTTTTATGAGAGAAAATAAGAGACCAGTATGTATAACACAGGGGATTTGTTTGAAATCCATCCTTCTGTCTGTTCATTACACAGAGAATTTGTTTGTAATCCATCCTTCTGTCTGTTCATTACACAGATGATTTGTTTGTAAACCATCCTTCTGTCGGTTCATTACACAGGGGATTTGTTTGTAATCCATCCTTCTGTCTGTTTATGACACAGGGGGTTGTTTGTAATCCATCCTTCTATCTAGTCCTTACACAGGGGGTTTGTTTGTAATCCCTTCTGTCTGTTCATTACACGAGAGGTTTGTTTGTAATCCATCCTTTTGTCTGTTCATTACACAAGGAGTTTGTTTGTAATCCAACCTTCTGTCTGTTCATTACACACGGGGTTTGTTTGTAATCCATCCCTCTGTCTGTTCATTACACAGACGATTTGTTTGTAATCCATCCTCCTGTCTGTTCATTACACAGAGAATTTGTTTGTAATCCATTCTTCTGTCTGTTCATTACACATGGGATTTGTTTGTAATCCATCCTTTTGTCTGTTTATTACACAGATGATTTGTTTGTAATCCATCCTCCTGTCTGTTCATTACACAGAGAATTTGTTTGTAATCCATCCTTCTGCCTGTTTATGACACAGGGGTTTGTTTGTAATCCTTCCTTCTATCTAGTCATTACACAGGGGGTTTGTTTGTAATCCCTTCTGTCTGTTCATTACACGAGAGGTTTGTTTGTAATCCATCCTTTTGTCTGTTTATTACACAGATGATTTGTTTGTAATCCATCCCTCTATCTAGTCATTACACAGGGGGTTTGTTTGTAATCCCTTCTGTCTGTTCATTACACAAAGGGTTGTTTGTTATCCATCCTTCTGTCCGTTCATACTCAGGGGATTTGTTTGTAACCCATCCTTCTGTCTGTTCATTATACAAGGGGTTGTTTGTAATCCATCCTTCTGCCTGTTCATTACACAGGGGTTTTGTTTGTAATCCATCCTTCTGTCCGTTCATACTCAGGGGATTTGTTTGTAACCCATCCTTCTGTCTGTTCATACACAGGGGTTTGTTTGTAATCCTTCCTTCTATCTAGTCATTACACAGGGGGTTTGTTTGTAATCCATCCGTCTGTCTGTTCATTACACAGGGGCTTTGTTTGTAATCCATCCTTCTGTCTGTCCATTACACAGATGATTTGTTTGTAAACCATCCTTCTGTCGGTTCATTACACAGGGGATTTGATTGTAATCCATCCTTCTGTCTCTTCATTACACAGGGGATTTGTTCTTAATCCATCCTTTTGTCTGTTTATTACACAGATGATTTGTTTGTAATCCCTCCTTCTGTCTGTTCATTACATAGATGATTTGTTTGTAATCCATCCTTCTGCCTGTTTATGACACAGGGGTTTGTTTGTAATACATCCTTTTGTCTGTTCATTACACAAGGAGTTTGTTTGTAATCCAACCTTCTGTCTGTTCATTACACGAGAGGTTTGTTTGTAATCCATCCTTCTGCCTGTTTATGACACAGGGGTTTGTTTGTAATCCATCCCTCTGTCTGTTCATTACCCCGCTGATTTGTTTGTAAACCATCCTTCTGTCGGTTCATTACACAGGGGATTTGTTCTTAATCCATCCTTTTGTCTGTTAATTACACAAGGGGTTTGTTTGTAATCCATCCTTCTATCATGCTTCTGTCTGTTCATTACACACGGGGTTTGTTTGTAATCCATCCCTCTGTCTGTTCATTACACAGATGGTTTGTTTGTAATCCATCCTTTTGTCTGTTTATTACACAGATGATTTGTTTGTAATCCATCCTCCTGTCTGTTCATTACACAGAGAATTTGTTTCTAATCCATCCCTCTGTCTGTTCATTACCCCGCTGATTTGTTTGTAAACCATCCTTCTGTCGGTTCATTACACAGGGGATTTGATTGTAATCCATCCTTCTGTCTGTTTATGACACAGGGGTTTGTTTGTAGGGGATTTGTTTGTAATCCATCCGTCTGTCTGTTCATTACACAGGTGATTTGTTTGTAATCCATCCTCCTGTCTGTTCATTACACAGAGAATTTGTTTGTAATCCATTCTTCTGTCTGTTCATCACACAGATGATTTGTTTGTAATCCATCCTCCTGTCTGTTCATTACACAGAGAATTTGTTTCTAATCCATCCCTCTGTCTGTTCATTACCCCGCTGATTTGTTTGTAAACCATCCTTCTGTCGGTTCATTACACAGGGGGTTTGTTTAAAATCCATCCTTCTGTCTGTTCCTACTCAGGGGATTTGTTTGTAACCCATCCTTCTGTCTGTTCATTACTCATGTGTTTGTTTGTAATCCAACCTTCTGTCTGTTCATTACACGAGAGGTTTGTTTGTAATCCATCCTTCTATCTAGTCCTTACACAGGGGGTTTGTTTGTAATCCATCCCTCTATCTAGTCATTACACAGGGGGTTTGTTTGTAATCCCTTCTGTCTGTTCATTACACATAGAATTTGTTTGTAATCCATCCTTTTGTCTGTTTATTACACAGATGATTTGTTTGTAATCCCTCCTTCTGTCTGTTCATTACATAGATGATTTGTTTGTAATCCATCCTCCTGTCTGTTCATTACACAGAGAATTTGTTTCTAATCCATCCCTCTGTCTGTTCATTACACAGAGAATTTGTTTCTAATCCATCCCTCTGTCTGTTCATTACACAGACGATTTGTTTGTAATCCATCCTCCTGTCTGTTCATTACACAGAGAATTTGTTTCTAATCCATCCCTCTGTCTGTTCATTACACAGACGATTTGTTTGTAATCCATCCTTTTGTCTGTTAATTACACAAGGGGTTTGTTTGTTATCCATCCTTTTGTCTGTTCATTACACAAGTGGTTTGTTTGTAATCCATCCTTTTGTCTGTTTATTACACAGATGATTTGTTTGTAAACCATCCTTCTGTCGGTTCATTACACAGGGGGTTTGTTTGTAATCCATCCGTCTGTCTGTTCATTACACAGGGGGTTGTTTGTAATCCATCCTTCTATCATGCTTCTGTCTGTTCATTACACAGGGGGTTGTTTGTAATCCATCCTTCTATCATACTTCTGTCTGTTCATTACACAGGGGATTTGTTTGTAATCCTTCCTTCTGTCTGTTCATTACACAAGGGGTTGTTTGTAATCCATCCTTCTGTCTGTTTATGACACAGGGGTTTGTTTGTAATCCATCCTTCTATCTAGTCATTACACAGGGGGTTTGTTTGTAATCCCTTCTGTCTGTTCATTACACAAGGGGTTTGTTTGTAATCCATCCTTCTGTCTGTTTATTACACAGGGGTTTGTTTGTAATCCATCCTTCTGTCTGTTCATGACACAGGGGTTTGTTTGTAATCCATCCTTCTGTCTGTTCATTACACAGGGGTTTGTTTGTAATCCATCCTTCTGTCTGTTTATTACACAGGGGTTTGTTTGTAATCCATCCTTCTGTCTGTTCATGACACAGGTGAATTGTTTGTAATCCATCCTTCTGTCTGTTCATTACACAGATGATTTGTTTGTAATCCATCCTTCTGTCTGTTCATCACGCAGGGGATTTGTTTGTAATCCATCCTTCTGTCTGTTCATCACGCAGGGGATTTGTTTGTAATCCATCCTTCTGTCTGTTCATTACACAGATGATTTGTTTGTAATCCATCCTTCTGTCTGTTCATGACACAGGGGATTTGTTTGTAATCCATCCTTCTGGCTGTTCATTACACAGGGGGTTTGTTTGTAATCCCTTCTGTCTGTTCATTACACAAGGGGTTTGTTTGTAATCCATCCTTCTGTCTAGTCATTACACAAGGGGTTTGTTTGTAATCCATCCTTCTGTCTGTTTATTACACAGGGGTTTGTTTGTAATCCATCCTTCTGTCTGTTTATTACACAGGGGTTTGTTTGTAATCCATCCTTCTGTCTGTTTATTACACAGGGGTTTGTTTGTAATCCATCCTTCTGTCTGTTTATTACACAGGGGTTTGTTTGTAATCCATCCTTCTGTCTGTTCATGACACAGGTGAATTGTTTGTAATCCATCCTTCTGTCTGTTCATTACACAGGGGCTTTGTTTGTAATCCATCCTTCTGTCTGTTCATTACACAGGGGGTTTGTTTGTAATCCATCCTTCTGTCTAGTCATTACACAGGGGGTTTGTTTGTAATCCATCCTTCTGTCTGTTCATTAGTGCTTCTCTTTGGGCTGGTTCTCATACAAATCATATTGAATTGGCCAATCAGATCTGTTACACATCTGTGTGAGCTTTCATTGGTCATGTTCAATTCTGTTCATCATCTGGATTCTTATTCAACATGTACAATATACAATATCCTGCTATTATTATTTTTTTATTTGCTTAAGGTTAAATCAGTTAAGGAATAATTTGTGTCTATCATTTATCTAAAGATCTGGTGGCCTTCATATAAAAATGTCTTTATTGCAGGTGAGTACAAGAAGGATGAGTTACTGGAGGCGGCTCGCAGTGGAAATGAGGACAAACTCATGTCCCTCCTCACCCCCCTCAATGTCAACTGTCACGCCAGCGACGGACGCAAGGTAAATTAGTTAATACCATTGATGTATCAGGCTTTCTGAAGAATAAAGACAACATGGAAAATGTTCAATATTTCTCCATGCTTATTGATCAAGATTAATTTATAAGTATGTTTTTATTACATTCTCCCCTGTGAACAGGTTAACAATTACTACAGGGATCCCCCTCTTATTACTGCCGTTGTTGCAACAATTCACAGTTTTACATATTTTGTATTATTTGGGTTAGAATTTATTAAGAAAAATATCAAAATAGAGTCAAAATAATTTATCTTGGATTCTGTGTAGAAATTGTGTTGTTTGCTGACTCAAAAAGATGACATTCCTATTAAAATATACAGACTTTGCCAAGCATTCTATCAGGTATTCAAATATATTTTATGTTAAAAAATTTATATCTTTTAGTGCTTAGTTTCATGTACAGCATTTTCTTAATTTTTGATTTTATGTTATTATCCTGCTGGGAGTCAAACATCAGCCAATCAAATGATTTATTTATTATCTTCACAGGTTGTGTGTTTTGCTTTGGTATTTAAATAGGTTAAGGTTTTTGTAAAGGTACTTTTCATTACAGATAACATGAAAATATCAACCAAAAAGAGATTACTACTGGTTTATTTCAATGCTTTTGGATGTTTGTAATTTGACTTCTTTGATTCAGTTCAGAGCACGTACTGATAGAATAGGAAAAGCACTTTGTTCAAAATAGGTTCTTTGTAACAATTTGATCATCTTAAAAGTACAATAAATACATAAACACTGGAATTGGTGAGAGAACATAATAAACTTGTATATGTGTGAACATCAAAACCTGTAACAACAAACATGTTACTACAGTAATGTATTTACCTAACAAAGTATAATCCCAATTAACCTTGTAAAGTTCTACAGTAAATGACATTACATGTATAGGAAAACTTCCTTGTAATTCTGTCAACCCTGATTTGCGATTTACTGTTGGAGAGCAAACTCACTGATGAGAAAGTTTTATCAATTGTCAACAATTATCTCCCATTGATAATAAATTAAACTTTTCAAACATTTGAATTACAGTGCTTCCTAGCCCATCATCATACTAGATATGTTCCTTATAGTGGGTATATGCTTGCAATGTAATTTTGTAATTGGTAAAACATGTCCCTTGCAATTCAGATATTTCAAATCAATTTTTCATTTGAAGTATATATACTGAAATGTGTTTGTTGTTGTAGTCGACGCCCCTACACCTAGCAGCGGGCTATAACAGAACTCGTATTGTAGCACTCCTGTTACAACATGGTGCTGACGTCCACGCCAAAGACAAGGGGTATGTTTTAATCTCATAATACTGCTCAGCAAATACACCTGGTAGTTCTTTATATTGAATCATTTGTAAAGCTTAAGAATTTTTTTTTTGATATTCTGTATGAAGATTTCAAATCAGTTCAATATTATGTCACTTAGTGGCATCAGAATTTTTTGTTAGATCGGGGGGGTGGGGGGGACTAAAATTAAGTAACATATAGAGAAGAATTTCAAATTAAATTGAGTCCAAGTTAAAAATAATGAGTCAAAGGACCTCAATACTGCTTTGTAGGAATAGCTGGGCAGATATTTCAGTGTATTTTAATTATTTTGAGGAAATTCATCAAAGTTATCTGTATATTAAGACCAGGTATTTTTTTGTAATAAACACAAGCATATGTGGTGCATATAAGAAAACTGTATACTTAAAGATTATATTTGTGTGTCTTACAGAGGCCTTGTGCCACTTCACAATGCCTGCTCTTATGGCCATTTTGAAGTCACAGAAACACTGCTCAAAGTAAGTACCAGTACCTTTGAGGGATTTTAGGAAGTTCATATGTTGGTGCACTGTGCAATTTTGATTTTAATTTAAAAAGTCCAATACCTAATAAACCCAGGGTTACATACAATAGATGCTTGCGATCACCAAGTTGGATATTTTTTGTAAATCTTGCCTGATATGTAAATACAAAGTGTATTAACAACAGTGCTAATGTTTTAAATTTGTTTGAAGGCTGGAGCGAGTGTCAATGCCATGGACCTGTGGCAGTTTACTCCCCTCCATGAGGCCGCATCAAAATCCCGTGTGGAAGTGTGCTCCCTCCTCATTGCCCACGGGGCCGACCCTACCCTTGTCAACTGTCACTCCAAAAGTGCTATAGACGTAGCCCCGACCAGGGAGCTGCAGGAGAGACTACAGTGTAAGTACCGTCTGACACGGTAAAAGGGAATCACATCAGTGAGTTAATTCTAAACAAGTGACATATTGATAGTAATCTGCAGAAATATACAAATTATTGTAAAGTTCATTATTATAAAAACATTCTTTTTGTCCCCAGTGCTTATCCAGACAGATTTCAAATGTTTATTGTTGGTGATATGACGACAGGATTTGGCAGGGAATCGCAATGGAAGAAAATAAATAGTGATCAGAATTGAAACCCATTAAATAGGCAGAGGCAGAATATTTTGTTAAAGTTACAATATTTAAAATAATATATGAGGATAAATTTCTGTTTTTCAGATGAGTTCAAAGGTCACTCGTTACTGGAGGGATGTCGTCAGGCAGACCTGACGAGGGTTAAGAAATACATAGAAGTAGTCAACATCAAACACCCGTACTCTGGCGACACGGCCTTGGTAAGATATTGTCATTAAGGTATTGTTAATATATGTAAGAGTGTGAATCTAAACTTGATCATTAAATAAACTGTAACACATTTCCTTTGAACAGATAATAATAAGTATTTAAAAATGATCAGGCCAGATTTCAGATGTAATTATGTTACAGCCTGGCAACAATTTGTCGTTTTGAGCCAGTTCAGATATGAAATCAAACCTGAAAATATTGACGTAAATATAAATTATCTTATATAATATTATTGTTTGTAGCACTGTGCCGCCTCTTCCCCATTCCCAAAGAGAAAACAGGTAGTGGAGCTCCTGATACGAAAGGGAGCTAACCTCAATGATAAAAACAAGGAGTAAGTATGCAGTCTGCTCCACTTCAAAACATATATGGATAACGTGATTTTAGAGGCAATGCACACATTTTAAAAAAGGACTTAGACTTAATATCCAATTCAAAAATATTTGTATAGTAGTGTAATTTTTGAGATTATAGTTTGTAGTCCGGCTTTTACCTGTAAAATATAAACTGGTAACAAAAAATTGAAGCCACCCAAGTACACCCTGGCTAATGTCTGCAAAGAAAATTTTCCAAGCTGTTGACAGGGTAAGTTAGAGGCTTAATACTCTCACTCATGTTTTTGTTCCCTGGTATCAAATCCAATCTATATCCTAGGTCGTTGTCTAATGGTAGCCTTTGTCTTACAGTTATTTCACCCCCTACACATAGCAGCCGTCAAGACACACTACAATGTCATGGATGTTATAGTATAGGTCGTTGTCTAAAGGTAGCCTTTGTCTTACAGTTAAGTCACCCCCCTTCACATAGCTGCCGACAAGGCACACTACGATGGCATGGATGTTCTAGTATAGGCCGTTGTCCAATGGTAGCCTTTGTCTTACAGTTAAGTCACCCCCCTTCACATAGATGCGGACAAGGCACACTACGCTGTCATGGATGTTCTAGTATAGGTTGTTGTCTAATGGTAGCCATTGTCTTACAGTTATGTCACCCCTCTTCACATAGCTGCGGACAAGGCACACTACGATGTCATGGATGTTCTTGTATAGGTTGTTGTCTAATGGTAGCCTTTGTCTTACAGTTATGTCCCCCCCCTACACATAGCTGCGGACAGGGCACACTACGATGTCATGGATGTTCTAGTATAGGGCGTTGTCTAATGGCAGCCTTTGTCTTACAGTTATGTCACCCCCCTACTCATAGCTGCGGACAGGGCACACTACGATGTCATGGATGTTCTTGTATAGGTTGTTGTCTAATGGTAGCCTTTGTCTTACAGTTATGTCACCCCCCTACACATAGCTGCGGACAGGGCACACTACGATGTCATGGATGTTCTAGTATAGGTTGTTGTCTAATGGTAGCCTTTGTCTTACAGTTATGTCACCCCATACACATAGCTGCCGACAAGGCACACTACGATGTCATGGATGTTCTAGTATAGGTTGTTGTCTAATGGTAGCCTTTGTCTTACAGTTATGTCACCCCCCTACACATAGCAGCCGACAAGGCACACTACGATGTCATGGACGTCCTTCTGAAGCATGGAGCTAAGGTAACGACTATTACACTCAACATTCTATCTTAAATCATTGCATAGAAAATATCATAAGTTCAATCAAAGTTTGTTGTTAATATATACTTTGAAGCCATGCATACATTAGTGAAGTCACAATGTTGAGCTTAATTTTCTAAATTTCTAATTCCTGTACAAGGTTAAAAAGGAGGTTAAATGACCCATTCAGAGTGTAGTTTGAAGCAGAGCTGGGGACACACTGGTTGTTGATAGTATATGACTGATGGAGTCTAAAACAAGGAAATTTTATTTTTGGCCTCTAATCAAGAGTGGGGTGGGGGGGGGTTAATATCAAAATTCTCAAAAAAGTCTTAACCGATGCTTAAATTTGCACGATAGGATTGTCACAACATTATCAGGGAAGCCAACCTAGAATGCTCACTGAATATCGGTATTTTATCTGAAAGTCCGTTATTGTTAACCAATGATATATACCCGACAATCCAGTATGTTCAAATTGTTGACAGGTAAATGCACTGGACAGCCTAGGACAGACAGCGTTACATCGAGTGGCACAGCAGGGCAACATGCAGGCGTGTCGCCTACTCATGTCCTATGGGGTAGACCCTGCCATTGTCTCTCTCCAGGGATACATGGCCGCCCAGCTGGCCACAGAAAACATCCAGAAGATGCTTAAAGGTAAGAGTAAACATGGCTACAATGTCAGTAATGTTACAGAGAAAGTACTCAAAGGATGGACTCGACTCATGGTATACAGGTAGCTATTAATTATGTCCAACAATGCTGAGTGATCCTCATAATTAAAAAACAGAATATACAGTTTATAACTGGTAGTCATCAAGTAAACTCTGAAAATATAAGAATATATAAAGGATTTGGGTAAGTTTGATTTATAAATAATCCCAATCTAGATCAGTTAACGTATCATTGACTTGCTGTGGGTGTCATAAAAGTCAAATGGAATTAAAATAAGTTTGAGATTATTTTTGTCATGCAATTGACCCAACTATGTATAATAACACAGATGTATGATCAGTAGAATCAATGTTTATGATAAAAGTCACAGATTGATTAAGATTTCTGATAATTTTCAGTGTGAACTTAGTAAATTTTCCAGAAAACTTATCATTATCTGATGGTTTGGTGCAGAGTTAGCATACATACAGCATGAACAATGTTTAAATGTATTTGCCCTGATTACAGAAGACCCCCCAGTGGGAGGAACAGACGTGGACATACAACTGCTGGAGGCTGCCAAAGCTGGGGATATTGAGGTTATCAAGGTCAGTCAATGGGGCTCAAGTCTCTGTAACCACACTATTCCCTCATCCACCTTGCAACATCCAGGTTAAAGTGCATTGCTCCATTATTCTTATATTAATAGTCTAGTAGTCATCAAACTGCATATATTGGATTCATTTTGAGAATAACAACACAAATTATCCTCAACGAATATTTTCATTTTATCACTATGTTAACTTTATAGCGTTTGTCACTGTGTAATACTTTTTTCTTCAGAATTGTAAATTTTCAAAAATTCATTTGTTCTTTTGTTCTTCTAAAGAAACTTGTTTCGGCCAATCCCCAGTCTGTGAACTGTCGAGACCTTGATGGCCGACACTCCACACCTCTCCACTTTGCTGCTGGATACAACCGAGTTGGTGTAGTGGAGTTTTTCCTACAGCACGGTGCTGATGTACATGCCAAGGACAAAGGGTCAGTTGTCTTCCTCATCTAAACCAGATTTAGCTGTTCCCCTGTCACATGATTTTGTTCATTGTTCAATGTACAGCTTCCGTTAAAGTCAATAACGAGGCTCTTTTGCCAATGAATAGACTACAATGATTGAATTAACGAAACATAATTCACTGTCAGAATGGAACTCGGCAAACAATCATCAGGGTGTATCACTATGGGCATTCATTTTAACCTTGGCAATTTCAAACCAAAACTGGGAAGCAAATTATTCTTATTTTATAAAAATGCATCTAACAATTTCAGTGCTCATATTCTAGTTAAATGAATAGATTGTAAAATAATTCATACTCCAATGTATGTAGATTTGGTAATTATATCACTAACATTATATAAACTTGCTAGAATATAAATATGGTTGCTATTTTATTTTCAGTGGTCTGGTGCCGTTACACAATGCCTGTAGTTATGGACACTTCGAAGTCACAGAACTTCTCATTAATGTAAGTCTTTAAGATTGCAGCTCACCAACACCAATATTAAAATGAGAATTATGCGAAATTTTAGCTCGCCTAAAAAAGGGGGAGGGTTAGAGTGGCAGACCCCAAACGAAAGGAGAAGAACAGGAATATTTTGTTGTGTAACAGTTATCCAGCCCACTCCTTTTCAATGAAAGTAAAGGGATTTGTAGCTAATTTCAAATAAAGGTACTCTGGACAAAGGTGATTTATTGTTATACAAATGAATAGAGTGCGCCCCCCCCCCCCCCCCAAAATGAGCTTTTCAGCTATTCATCTGGGCCTTGTGGACCATGATATAATTTTGTCTTAGTGTTTTGTACAAAATTATCTTTATGCACACTATCACCCTTGTTGACCTACCCTAACATTACATTATATAACCACGTGTTGTTTACCTTCTGTACAGCATGGTGCTTGTGTCAATGTTGCTGATCTATGGAAATTCACACCATTGCACGAAGCAGCAGCCAAAGGAAAATTTGAGATCTGTAAACTTCTCCTCAAGGTAAGGAATTCTGTCTCTAGTATTTACAATATCAGGGATTCATTTCAACTGGAGTAATGAAATCATTAAACAAATGATGGTAATTTTGAAAAATAATAACATAGCTCAATGACTTCAATTTCTTTAGTATGGAAAATGTCAGCCTCCAACTTATTTAAATGAACAGCTGTATATCTATTTTCCACTATATTTTTCCCAGCTATTAGGATCAGTTAAGGAGGTTATATGAAAAATAGATAAAAGAAAAGTGTATTTGCAATAAATGCCAATATAAATGAAAAGTCATTTAACTGAATGTTACATCAATACAGCATGGTGCTGATGCCAACAAGAAGAATCGAGACGGCAACACACCACTTGATCTAGTCAAAGATGGAGACCAGGACGTCGCCGATCTGCTACGAGGTACATCATTCTTGATAATCTTAATCCATTAGGAGTAGAAAATGTATATCTATAAGGGGGATGTGGACATTCTACTAGAGGGAGTAAAGATATCGGAACCATGGCTTTTCTAAGGTTCTGACCCTAGACTCTACACTAAAAGCTGGAATTTCTATTCCACTTTACTTTTAAAAAGACGGACACTTTCTCTCCCACCAATTATCCAAAATTTTGGTAAAACATGACACAGACAATAAAATTGCAACACTAAACATAGCAAAATGTCTAAATCATTCAAACGTTAGCTAAGGTCATATGATGTCAAAGATTTAAGTTTACAATTTTATGTAGTCAGCTGTACAAACTTAGTTGAATATTTTTAATAACAGGTGATGCAGCTTTACTGGAAGCAGCAAAGAAGGGTAATCTGGCTCGTGTGCAAAAACTAGCCTCACAGGAAAATATAAACTGTCGTGATACACAAGGACGCAACTCAACTCCTCTACATCTCGCAGGTATGCTCTCACATTGACTCTAATGGCTGGAAAAGACATACAGTTGCCTTGTTCTTGTGAACTGATGCATCGCTTTGTGGGATTGATAACTTGTTCACCTCCAGAGAAGTTGTATGTTAACAGAATGAAAGTTCCTATTGAAGTCACAAAACTTAATCTGATGGTTAATGTCATCATTTTGATTTTATTATGCTTGTATCATAGATTAAATATTGAACAATCATTTATCAAATGTTGTTATATAAACTATGCTGATGAATCTGGGGATCTATTGTCATCATACCTACTTTTATTGTGATGCCGGTGGAGAATAAAAGGTAACTTGATAGAATGTAAGGTTGATGTATTCTAAAAAATCTGAAAATAAGTCAAACTTAAATGGATTTGTTACTATAATAGTTGTGTGTCTGATCAGACCCAGACCAACATGGGGTGTTGACATTTCAGAAAAACAGTTCATTTCTTATATGTGCATAATTGTGTTGTTTTCAGCTGGCTACAACAATGTGGAGGTGGCAGAGTTTTTACTAGAGAATGGCGCAGATGTAAACGCCCAGGACAAAGGAGGTCTCATACCCCTCCATAATGCTTCTTCTTATGGGGTTAGTAAACCAATCTATTCATCTTAGGGGATCACTGAACTATGCATAATGCTTCATCTTACTATAATTCTAGGAAATATATCAGTGTTTAACAGTTTGTTTTGTAGGAAATGTGGGGTAGTTTATAACAATCTGGTTTCATAGGAAATGTGAGATAGTAAAAACAAAATGTGAGATATTTTATAACAATTTGTTTTTCATTGGAAATGTGAGATAGTTTATAACAATTTGTTTTTGTATTTTACAGCACGTAGATATAGCAGCCCTGCTGATTAAGTTTAACACGTGTGTGAACGCTGTAGACCGGTGGGGATTTACACCACTTCACGAAGCAGCACAGAAAGGTCGTACACAACTCTGCGCTCTGTTGGTGAGTCAATTGTTGAGACAAAATAAACAGGAGTCAACGTATACTATCATGTAATTTCATAAGTAAGAAATAGAGTGTGTGAATTCTGCATACACCTGACAATTTTCTTTTGAGTAAATATTTGTTATTTGACTGTTCCACTACTGACAGCATTACATCCTTATTGTTAGCCGGATAATAAAGAGCACTCAGACTCCTGTACAGGTGGCTAATGTTGGACCCCTACAGTATTTGTCCTTTTAACATTTTGGTTAAAGACCTAAACAGATTAAAGAAAGCTGGGAAATGGGCTGCCAACACCATTAACTCTTTCACCACTGTAGACCATAATAGACTCATCCAGATCAATGCATGGTAGAGTCTTCTAAAGTTGCCTAGGGGTGAGGGGGTTAAACTGCATTTCTTTTCTGACACCACAATCACCCTGTACCAATTTAATAATCTTCTAGATGGAAATTCATGTATTTGTATGATTTTTTGCTGATCAAACAGAAAATTCCTGTTGACAATACCTCTTAGCCATTAGTAAGAGTATGACCACAAATGAAAGACACTACCTGTCAGAGCTAAAGAAACTTTTTGAGATTTTAAAATAATCCGTTGACCGCTGTTTTTTCACCACCTCTAGCTTGCCCATGGAGCAGACCCAACAATGAAGAATCAAGAGGGACAAACACCATTAGATCTTGCAACGGTAAGAGTCATATGTTCAGAAATAGCCTGGTGCATTACACTGCAACGGTAAGAGTCATATGTTCAGAAATAGCTTGGTGCATTACACTGCAACATTAAGAGTCGTATGTTCAGAAATAGCCTGGTGCATTACACTGCAACGATAAGCGTCATATGTTCAGAAATAGCCTGGTGCATTACACTGCTAGTTTACAAAGAGGATTCTTACACCATAAATAGATGGTTAATGTGTTGAAATGCAGAGTAACAAAGAAATGTGTTTTTTGTACATTTCTCTGTTTGTTTGCTGATTGTCGCCAGTGAAAAAAATGTGTTATTGTGATGATTAATGTTGATGTTGTTTTACAGGCGGACGACGTGAATGCTCTGATACAGGATGCCATGCCGCCGACCACCCAGCCCCCGACTCTGCCAAAGTCACAGGTGACCAGTAACACCACCAACACAAGTAGTGCTAGTAGTTCGTCAAATAACAGGTATGGAAATCTTCTGTTGGAATTATTAAAGAAAGCGTGCATTTTGTAGATTATGAACAGGATTAATTCACTACGCAGAAATATATATACTATGTCTGTTCTTACTTGTTGTAAATGAGGTCTTCTAAGCAGAAATCAAGCGATTGAAGATTTTAATTGTACACATGCAGGAATAATTAAGTTACTTAAAAGTCAGAGACAACGTTCCTAAAACTACTGAATCAATAATATAAACCATTGGTGACTACTTAGATCATCTCTAATATCTTGTTTGTATGTAATAAAGATATTTGAAAAAAAATATCATTTTAGATATATTATCTGTAGTAATAAAATAAAAAAATGCTGACACCTAAATATTCTGAGAAGTATGAAGGAAAATGAGTTGATCTGTCTTGATTATTATTGATTTGAGATATCATCTCTTGTCTTGCAGTTCAATGTTTAATGGTACCAATGACAATGGGACAGGGATGTCGTCACTGGGAGCTACGGGAGGAATTACCCTTCCAGTGTCGCCACAGGTGGGAGATGGCGCGATGGAGCGAACCATGGCTGAGGGAGAGCGTAGCATAGAAGGCGTTAGTGTGTCCTCATTCTTAACCTCAATCGGACTCGATCAGTTACGAGATATTTTTGAGAAAGAACAAATTACAATGGACATTCTTGTGGAAATGGGCCATGATGAACTTAAGGACATAGGTATTAATGCCTATGGCCATCGGCACAAGATTCTCAAAGGTGTGGAGAAACTCATCTCCGGGAATAAAGGTTGGTTGTCTGCCAGTAGCTCAACTAAATCATAGATGATTTCATTTATGTACAAAGTCACGGATGTTATAAAAGAATTTAAAGTTTTAGTAGATTTTCAGTTATTTTATGACAGCACCGGTAAAATGATTATAAAGTTGAAGGACTTGCTCAATTGATGGGTATTGTAATGTATGAATGTATGAGAGTGTGTGTTACTACATTATTTAATGTTATAGATTTTAATAGATGATCGTTTAAGTTTCACATGAGTTGTGATGTTGACCCATGTCTGATTTGTCATCCTATAATTAACCTACTTTAGTGGACTCTACCATGTATTTATGGGGATGAGTCTAGTATAGTCTAAGGTGGTAAAAGGGTTGAAAGATGTTGCTGGTGTCCTAGAACCAGACCTGTGTGAAGAAAATTGATGTACTGGCAATACTTGTTTGAAAAGTTCAATCTTCTACAAATATTTATTCCGTTGATAATTGATATCAATATCTTATTAGCATTCCCACAATTATGAATTAAAACATTATTAGTTCATGAAATAACGTCCACTCAGAATTACGGAGATTAACAGTAATGAACACCTATATTCTCTACCACAGGTCAGCCGTCCCTATTGGCAGCTGTCCCCCACCAAGGGACAGTCCTCGTCGACCTACAGCCAGACGACCCCGAGTACATTTCTGTTGATGAACAGGTATGCTAACTTCCTGTCAATGTAGGCTTACAAACATATAAAGTTGTTAAATTCAATTTGGCAAACCTAGTGCGTTGAAATGTGTAAATGTTACAATAGAAATCATTCATAGCATTAAGTGGATGTTGTCCAGTCTTCATCTTGTATACAGGTTTTATTTTCTAAAGTGTCATTTAGCTTTGATGTGATGGTCTGAAGTATTACTTCATTAGAACTCTTCACTGTCACTTATTGAAGCAGAAGAAAAAATCTAAGTATAAGTGTTTGTGAAACTTAAGCCTGATGAGATGATAATGACCTGAGAGTGCTATGTCCATATCTATTTTCAGATGCAAAGTACGATACGAGAACATAAAGAAAATGTCGGAGGAACTTTTAATCGTTATAGTATTAATAAGGTAAGTGGATGTCAAGAAGTTACTTATAGAATTTTACTTTAAACAAAACACAACTGTCCATTAGGAGTATCTGCCTCATGTTTATTCCTCCAACAGCATTTATTTCAGTGTCTTCAGGAAGAAGACCAGTATTATGACAATATATTTCAGGTACTCAAATTTATACAGTACATAAACTATGCAAATAATGAACTGAAATTCCAGTATAGTTTGATTAAAAACATAAATTCATTACAGATCCAGAAGATAAGTAATAAGCGCCTTTGGGGTAGATACTGTCATCGGCGGAAAGAAGTGTCGGAGGAAAACCATGGCCATGAGAACGAGCGACTGCTGTTCCACGGCTCGCCTTTCATCAACGCAATTGTACACAAAGGCTTCGATGAGCGACATGCTTACATTGGAGGCATGTTTGGAGCAGGTAAATAACTAAAGCTGTTTTTAGTGTATGTCTCGATCTTATATTTGTACATAGAAGCTTTGAATGAGGCAGAGTTGCGTGCTCATGGGACGCTGGGTTAATTAATGTCGAGATAATCTTGAGTAGCCAATACTTCAACATACATTTTCAGTATAGATAAATAATACTGTATATTTGGATGTTAATTTGTATGTCATGCTGTATATAGGGGTATAAAGTTGTCGAGAAAACAAGCCTGTGTAAAATATCATTGTTAACATAAATCTACCAGACCATGTTTGTCTACCAGACCATGTTTGTCACGAGGAAGAAATGGGACAGATATAGTTCCCACAGTTTTCCTTGAAGCCATTGCTACCATGATATCTGATTGGGGAAGACATTTCATAATCATCTCAATGATAGACTTTGATTAGGTATTTCAGATTTGTTTAAAAATGAATACAGCTTTAGATTTGTGTGTAAACTATGTGTACTTTCCAGGTATCTACTTTGCGGAGAACTCGTCTAAGAGTAACCAGTATGTGTACGGTATAGGAGGAGGTACTGGCTGTCCTCTCCACAAGGACCGCTCCTGCTACATCTGTCATAGGTAAGTTTATTCCCGAGTCGTATGTCCTCTCTGTGGTATTAACATACTATATCTTTTTGAAAGTGTAACTGTTTTCATGGTCAGTTGAAGATAGTTTTCAACTTAGCCTTGATAAGGAAAATTATGTATTGTTTCTTGAGCAAAAAAAAAAATTGAAACTTTTTCATTTTTTTTTATCTACGTATGGCTTTCACCAATAAATATTTAAACATTTAACATTTATCCACCATTTTGGTTAGAAGTTAATAGAAAAAGAATTGTTTTGTTTTGACCCCATGTTTTATCTATTGCAGACAACTCCTGCTGTGTCGCGTGACACTTGGGAAGTCTTTTCTACAGTTCAGTGCAATAAAGATGGCACACTCTCCGCCTGGTCATCATTCTATCATTGGCCGACCCAGCAGTGGGGGCCTCATGTACCCGGAGTACGTAGTGTACAGGGGGGAACAGGTATGTAGTGTCCAGTTACAACCAACATGTCAGAATTAATCAGTGTTCAGCTTTCTCAAGGTAACAGAGTTATCAACAGTTTTTGTCTTTCACTACATTTATATTGATCAAGAGCATACAGCTTGTGTGTGGGGGTGGGGTTAATGTCAGTCATTAATTTTCTGATGTGCATTGATGTAATATGTTGTTGTGACAATACTTTTACATATTTCCAAAGGAGTAAACATTATCTGAACTATGCTTTAAAATTTGATATTTTAATTGTGATAAAATGCAGATAATTCTCAAATTTTAGATAAATCTATTGTAAATCAAAAGTGTAATTATTAAGGGAAGTAACTCTAGTATATAAAATCATGTTTAAAGAGTAATGGAGACGTTATAAGCAAGGGAGATAACTCAGTAAATATCAAAAGTGTAATGAATGTTAACGTTGTTTACAAGTTGTTATTTTAATGTTCTTTGACAGGCCTACCCTGAGTATCTCATCAGCTTCCAAATTCTGAAGCCGGAGAGTCCGGAATCATCGACCACAGCTACCCCAAAGAAACCATAGACATGGAAACAACTGTTACAATTAATTGTAGACAGTTAAACGTGTGACTCATCATGACATTTCTTCTGTCACATTCAACCTAGACAAGCTAGGACACACCTGTCAAAGCAAACTATAGAAATACACACAACTGTCATCACAGGCAACTGTCATCACAGACTACTGTCATCACAGACAACTGTCATCACAGACAACCGTCATCACAGACAACTTTCATCACAGACAACTGTCATCACAGACAACTTTCATCACAGACTACTGTCATCACAGACAACTGTCTTTTGAAGCAAAACCAGCTTGTTAACAGAATCATGACCCTTACTTGGGAAAGCCCTGCACTGTTACTATCAGAGTAGTAGCTTCTACAGACATGCTTCAAGGAAAATCAGGCACCTTTGTTATTTATGTGTTTATTTTTTCTACATGTAAATTGATGAATTTTCATAAACAAAGCGACTAAAACAGGATTTGAAACCAGCCAGTTGACTGAAGGGAGAAACACTACACACTTCAGATTGATTGTCTAAGTTCTGTCATCACAGACACGTTAACTTATAAGAGTATGTCCATCATAATTATGTACATGTATTGATATTTCCCGGTAAAAATCATAGCAAAAATTTCTTTAGCAGAGTTATTTTCAGTTTTGTACTTATCTTTTTTTTTACGTAGAAATGCATTGTTTTAAAGAGGAACAAGCTTTGTTTTCAGTAATTGTGCTTGTTATTTTTGTCTTTTAATTGTATATGATTCAAAACTTCTTACAACACTTGCGAATCACTATGTAAACAGGATAGCTAGATGTAGGTTGTTCTAGCTCTGTTTTAATTTAAATGAATATCTTTAATTTAATTCTTAGGTTGAATTCTTATAAATCATGTATCTCCTGATAGCGTGCTACTTGGTTTTAGAATTCTTTAAGCAGCGATTGCATCAACACTTAAAAGTTTAAAGAATATTTTTTTAAGAATCTTATTTGAGGAATCAACTGTTGAATTTAAACTCTGTGTGTGAACTTTTACAGTTGAAATCTCTCTCACTGAGAGCACCTGTGCCATTCTATCACCAATGCAATGTTCATTGTTTACGAGTATTCTATTTTTGAATCAATATGAAATTACATAATAGGGCATCAAAAGAGAAAAGTTCTTGTTTGGATCGTTATATGATGAAATAAATGAATTTCCTTCTGTACATAAGTCTTTTCCTCTGTATATATTGTAAATATGTAGATTGTGCCATTTAGTGTAAACTTTTCCCCCGTATGAATCTGCTCTTTGGAAATGCATAATTTTCTTTCTGTCATCTTGCCAAATATTTCTGTGTGGTTAAATTATACTCGGAACATTTGCATAACTATACATTTCTCTGAATGTCCATAAAATGTTATGTCTGTATAGAACAATGAATCTCGTAGTGTTGATTATGAAAAAACACTTCTCATTTTTATTTATTATTTCTTAAAAATATTTATGTCTCACAGTATGAATCTAAATTGTTGATATTTTTTCGGTTGAGTGAAATGGTAAAGCTTGCTCATAGCCTTAAAGCAATGTTCCACTGATAAGATGTATTGCCTGTTTCAGTCACACAGAGTTCACTTGGGTTGAAGGACTCTTGTTTTGCACCCAAAGGCAAAAGTGCTTGATGAAGCAGCAAGTAAATGGCAACACTGTTGCTTAAAGTATAACAAAACACCTGTTGCCTCAAACCCTAGTCATCAACTATATTGCTACTCCATAATAGAATTGATGCAGGACATTAAGATAATCTTTCAAATAGAAAACACATTGATGATGATATTGCAACCTTGAAATGTGACTGACATTATAAATGTCATAACTGTACTGGTACCATTAAATGTGACAGACATTATCAATGTCAATACTGGAACCATTAAATGTGACAGACATTATCAATGTCAATACTGGAACCATTAAATGTGACTGACATTATCAATGTCATAACTGTACTGGTACCATGAAATGTGACAGACATTATCAATGTCAATACTGGAACCATTAAATGTGACAGACATTATCAATGTCAATACTGGAACCATTAAATGTGACAAACGATATTATCAATGTCATTACTGGAACCATTAAATGTGACAGACATCAATGTCATTTCTGGAACCATTAAATGTGACAGACATTATCAATGTTATTACTGTACTGGAACCATTAAATGTGACAGATATTATCAGTGTCATTACTGGACTGGTACCAATAGATGTGACAGACATTATGAATGTCATTACTGTACTGGAACCATGAAATGTGACAGACATCAATGTCATTACTGGAACCATTAAATATGACAGACTGTATCAATGTCATTACTGTTCTGGAACCATTAAATGTGAAAGATATTATCAATGTCATTACTGGAACCATTAAATGTGACAAACGATATTATCAATGTCATTACTGGAACCATTAAATGTGACAGACATTATCAATGTCATTACTGTACTGGAACCATGAAATGTGACAGACATCAATGTCATTACTGGAACCATTAAATGTGACAGATATTATCAATGTCATTACTTGAACCATTAAATGTGACAGATATTATCAATGTCATTACTGGAACCAATAAATGTGACACATTATCAATGTCATTACTGGAACCATTAAATGTGACAGACGGACATCAATGTCATTACTGGAACCATTAAATGTGACAAATTATCAATGTCATTACTGGAACCATTAAATGTGACAGATATTATCAATGTCATTACTGTAACCATTAAATGTGACAGATATTATCAATGTCATTACCGGAACCATTAAATGTGACAGACATCAATGTCATTACTGGAACCATTAAATGTGACAGATATTATCAATGTCATTTCTGGAACCATTAAATGTGACAGACGGACATCAATGTCATTTCTGGAACCATTAAATGTGACGGATATTATCAATGTCATTACTGGAACCATTAAATGTGACAGACTGACATCAATGTCATTACTGGAACCATTAAATGTGACACATTATCAATGTCATTACTGGAACCATTAAATGTGACATGTGATAACATGATTGACAATTAAACACTCAAAATACAATTTGTCTGCAACATGTACCAGTCAAATATATTAAACCTAGCTTAGTCATAAGTACATTATGAGTTTTCAGAAATTTTGTTCAAATAGCCAGTTATTGCTGTACTATACCTAACTATTTCCAACTAAATAACCTGTCAACTGTCCAATATAATACATTTATACTGGAATTACTGGTTGGAAGGAGCAAGTATTAATTTAAAGTTTATTTTTTTGTCTGTTCTGTTTTTCACTTAATCATATAAAGTTTCTTTCATAGTTGCATGCATGTTACAATATTGTGCTAGCTTTTTGACATATGATGAGATGGTTTCAATTGCTTAAAATGCTGCACATGTTTTTATATTGATATTTGGGCTATTATAACGTATACAAAATGTACCACTAAGTAGTACACGGTCCCTCTACTTAGTCATAGGTAACCACCAAATTAACTAGTGTTTGCAACGAAATTGACTAACAAAAATAAGTATTATAGCTTCAAGTATCTTGTGTGTGTATATTTGTATATATGTCGCCTGTAGGGATCCCGTTAGTGGTGCGAGTCATTAGACTAAGTCGAGAAAGGGGTATGAAATAGAGTTTGTGTTTCTCCTTTCTACTAAAACGCATTGATAATATATATGAAATGTATGTTTTGATGTGTAAATGAGAACAGGAATGATGATAGGCGTGAAACAGGTGTGACAGGTTGTATGGTAGGTCTGTACGGGTGTGACACGTTGTATGGTAGGTCTGTACAGTAATTTAGTTGTGTGTTGTATATAGTCCCGCGCTGTGTGTATAGATCTATCTATCTGGTCTCTGTTTTACTCCTCTACTCTCTAACTTCAGTATAGAAGATGCTTCCCAAACATCATTTTGTCAGCGACATGTTTTAATGTAACTACTCAATAATAAAACAACTTTGTTGAAGTCTATTATTTTGCAGTGTCGTTTTGTATATTCAGCTTCGGATTGGAATTAATTTGTTACTACTCACTCCAGGAGGTGCTCAAACTCAGATTATTGTCTGCATGCATGCGTATCAATAAACTACAAGAGGAGTGGGCGGGTATATTAATGGACTACATCAGCCCATCCATCCCTGTTCGTAAAGAATAATTCTCTCTTTCTGGGTAACTATAATACTACTTTATAATATTTGAATAGATGATGCAGTTAAATTTGATCTACAAAATATTCATCCTGCAGATGCTGAATTTGAGCTTACATTTTTGCGCTTCAGTTACTACACAAATATTCCCCCTAATGCCTAATTAATCAAGAAAAATTGTGAAGTCGGTATCTGGGTAACTGTGTTACATGGACGACGGTTGAACATATTACATGTTATTATGCTGAGTTTGACCTACATTTTACACTCCAGAGACTTCCTTATCATTTCCTCATACAAATAGAACAGTGTACATGTTTTATGAGAAGTACTTTTTACACAACCAATGAAATGTTCTATGTGACAGTTTGATGACTAGTATGATATGTACACTGTCACCTTCATCAGACAAATGACCAGTGAAGCGTATGCACACAAAGGTGTAAAAATGTATACGAGTTGTCCATAAAATCAATGTCGATTTCGGCTACGCTGGAAATGTACAATAGTTGTTATATATGTACCTAAATGAATCAATTCAGCTTCACTGGTCATTTGTCTGATGAAGGTGACAGTGTACATATCGTACTAGTCATCAAAACGTCACAGAAAATATTATTGGTTGTGTAAAAAGAACTTATAATAATAATAATAATTTGAGGTTCTTATATACCGCTTTTTCACATCCTAGTTTGTAGGTCGTCTCAAAGCGGTTCACAAATTATTATCTGGTTATAGGGCCTTTGCAACCAGCTCCCTGGGGAGCATACAGCCGGAGCTGCCATTTCGGCGCGAACAGCTAGCATTCATCAATTCTAGCACTGCCCAACCACATACTCATTTACAGCCGAGTAGACTGGAACAAGCGGAGTAAAGCATCATGCTCAAAGAAACAACACATTGCCGTGCCGTGGCGCGAACTCGCAACCTTCGGTCACGAGCCCGGCGTCCTACCACTGGACTACCTGCCTCCAAATAATCCATACTTAACTGATGAAAATGTTCAGAAACAGTGTATTTAAAAATAACTATCCGGATTTGGGTACTTATTTGTAATCGATAATTCTTTAGATAACCCTCATATATCACAGAAGAATGGTTCAGTCAATATTGGGACATACATGTTACTATACAGTTAAAGTATGGGGTTGAGGGATATAGCAAGTTTCTGGTGTCCCGAGACCAGGTTTATCGCCTCGGGAAATAGGCATGGTCAAGGGACACCAGAAACTTGCTATATTCCTCAACCCCATACTTTAACCATTTTATTATACCGATACACACTGCAGAGATAGTTTAACTTGAAAATATTTGTAAACCATAAGCTGTATAGCCTCACGTCCCAACTACCCCTTTGACGGCAATGGAGCCAAATGCTTCGGAGTTCGGTAGCAAGCTCCGCCCACCTATTTTATTATTATTGGATTATTCTCTGGTAAAAATAAATCCCAATTGCTAGGTTAATGCTTGTCCTTAGCATATTACAGTGGAGCGAAAAACACGACTCAAAGCCGGTCAATTTTCCGTTAACATACAGAGCCTACGTATTCCAGGGGTGCGTTACTGAGTGTAAACAGTGGAGTATTGATGATGCAGTGCGGGGTACGGTGCAGGCTATTGAAAGCCTGTTCAAAGTCACCAAATGACTTGGAAAGAGGACGGTTCCATCCGAGGGATTGTTAAGATCTTTCAAGAAACAAAGATATATATGGTAAATACATTTTCTTTTTGTAATATCCATGAATTCTGTGATACGCTCGAGGGAGATGCGGCTGAACACTTTGCTAATAAGGAATCGACAGCGGTATGTTATTTCTCAAGTTGTTGCAGTCTCCAAGGTCAAATTTCTTTGGAAATTTTCCATTGACATCCTTTCTGATGTGGTGTGGTATCTTCCCCGTTTTACAGACGTGCAGAAGGATATGTGGTGTTACTTACTCGTTGATGATCATGTTGTAAAGTAAAGATCAATGTAAGCGGCTATGTAGATGAGCCGGGTGCGTTATTTATGTCAGTTTATATTTATGGAAGTTAAAAACATATAGTTCTGAAATTTAGATCGAAGAAATTGGTCAAGTGTTTAAAGCCGTTATGAAGAGCTGATAATATAGTCGGCTTCGTATATAAACAAAGACAAATCAACCAAAAGAGACGCACATGGGAATGGCAATAGACTACCTACTTGGAAAAGTTACCATCGCACTTAACAAAAATATTGTTGCCAGGAATTCAATAATTCTCCAAATTTCTCCCACATATACTTAATTTTCCTTTGCCGATTTTTTACTCAAAACAACTGCTCCAAAATAGCTGTATGATAAACAGAATGATTTTGACTTTCCTATCATTAGCTTTCCCCTTCTTGATAGTAACATATCTGTCTCCCCTACTACGGTGTTTACATGTTTCAGTTGATTTGGTATTCAAGGGTTTCTTCTCCGAATATTATGAATTCGGTGATAGATGTCAACTGCTGACGGACAAACAAACAACACAGGATTTA